TCAACTCTTTTAAACGGTTAAATGATAAGATCTGTTTATTCAAAACACTGACAAAATTGGTTCAGAATAGATGAGAAATCAGTTGGAAATGGATAAAAACGCATTTTACTTACGACCTATTTTTGTACATTATGTTTCCTTGTTCGATCGCGTCTGTTTTCACATCACGTACTTGCGTGAGAACGAAAATAACAACGACGCGGAGATTTACATACCTACATCGGTTGCATTCTAGATTTGTTCAGGCTCGTTTGGATTACGTTTTAATTCAGTTCTTATCAACGGTCATTTTAGATTCGTTGGTAAATGAAAATAAATCCTTCAAGTTTGTTCAAAAAAATTGTCCGCCACAAAATTATTTTAAACTTTTTCATGCTTGAACGAGTGATAGAGTTCCAAGAGTCCACACGGACGTTTTCGGAAGTGAGAGGTCTAATAGTCTTTCACGTCAAGCGATTTTTCAGTTTCCGTAAACTTCCGAGGGGGATATTTTTTAAAGAAATCAATTTACTCAAAACTAATTTCCAAAACGTTCCTGTTTTGGAGGGGCCTTGAAGCGCGCCACCAGGGGTCAACTTTGTATGCACATTGTTGTTTATGAGACACTCTATAAAAGAAAAAAACATGTGGCTTGTGAAAATGCCCGCGGGCTAGTTAAGAGTCTGTTTCAGCAACCCGACTGGCTAGTGAACAAAAAAGTTAAGATCTGGTCACGTGATCACTGTACGCACATGAGGCCCCCTTCAATGACGGATTATCTGTACAATAGGTAGCACACTACTTTCCCCATTAAAGGAAACTTCGTCAGTTAGCTTATCCAGCTTTTCGGGGGGGGGGGTTGCGCAACTTAAGACTTTCCTGTATCGACGTCTGAACCGTCTTAAAAAAATGCCGCCAAGGGGGCACCCCCCCCCCCCTCCCCTCGCTGGATACGCCACTGGCCTTTGTAATATAGAATTTGAGCTGGATAGGGTTTAATCAAAATTTCGGGAACAAATGCCCTGATTGTCTTAAAGCATACTATCATCGACCCTGATCACAGAATGTAAAGTCTTAAGTTTCGCTAGATCAGACAAAGGCCCATTAGCGCCATGCCAAATGAGGCCAATTTTGCATTTAATCAAAATGTTGTGAACAAGAACGAACCGTATCATTTGATAGCTTAACACTTGTGGAATATGACAATTTAACTTCAGCGTGATTTTAGGTCAGACTATTTAACTAATTAGTCCGCAACCCCCCTCCCACGTACATTTTCGCTTATATCGTCGCAATGCACTTTGTTAATTGTGCCAAGCTTATCTGCCAAGTTTGTTTGATGTATTGCGGTTATTTTGACGCCAAATTTATAAAAATGAGCATACCTTCGTCACAAAACGTCAATTTTTCAACAAGTAGGCCTTAATGTTAACTTTTTTCCATTGAAAATGTACAAGTACATGAAAGCGCGAATGAGAGTGCCGTCTAACAGATTGAAGTTATATTTCACAGATGTACAACATTTAAAATGAGAAAATGCAACCATTTTTGTTGGCGCCTTGGCAACTTCAGGAACATGAAAATATAACTGAGGAGTGATTTAAGGTCAGCCAAATTAACTTAAATAGGCGCGAAAGTGTAAAGGGGGCGGGGCTGCAACCCCCCTCCATGAACATTTTAACTTATATCATCGCAATCTCTTAAGTTTAGCCTGACCTAAAATCACTCTTAAGTTATCCACAAACTACAAGTGACAAGCTATCAAATGATACTGATTTTCCATTTGGCATGGCACCAATGGGCCTTAGTCTGATCTAGCGAAACTTAAGACTGGCCATTCTGTGCTCAGGGTCGGTGGTACAATGCTTTAAGACAATCAGGGGATTTGTTCCTGAAATTTTGATTAAACCCTATCCAGCTCTCATAGAATTGACAGCGTTCCGAGATTAGTATATTTTGTGCGTATGAACGAAACTCGTATATAGCGTGTTGTGTGTTCCTCCAACAACACGTAATATTTCACCAACAGCACATGTAGATGCCTGCTGATTGGTCAGAATCTGTAGAGGTCTACAAGCGACTGTCATGCATAATTCATAGCTGGATCTGCGTGCAGGAATCGTGTTCCGCAATCTGCATGCTTGAACAATAGATGGCGCTGCGTCAGCAACTCTCGAAGACGCACATAACGTGGAACAATGACCAAGGGTTCTGGTCTCTCGTCTGTTTTGGCGCAGAGTACACACTGGTAATTTTAATCCATGTTAGAAATAGACTACAAACACAGAATAAATTGGGGATTGTTTATCCCGTTTCTCCTATTTCGTTGAACAAAACAGTGGTTGCTCAAATAATTTATTATAATGTGGCTTTTGTGCCATGTATTGTTTACTAAAAGTGTCTAAAAACAGTAAAATTCTATAAAAAAAATCTTATTTTGTAAATAGTTTTCAAATTTGCACATGTGTAGATATAAAGAATGACGCACGGCCTGTGACAGGTTCTCGAAAACTTTGCTTCGTCTTCGGCTTCGGCTTTACCTCCGACTTCTGAATCACCGAGAGGCAAACTAAACACAAATATTCCAACTTTTGGCTTCATGTCAACCGATTGAATGTTCCTGAAGCATAACTGGCACCAAAATATTGCTAGAGTTCCAGAAATTGGGGCCTAAAATGTCAATAAGCCGAAAACGAAGCCAAAGCCAGTCGTTTCGAAAACGCCTTCCAGGCAGGTTTGCGAACAAACGCCCTCTCTTGACACGTTTTTAATTTTCCGTAAACTTTGGCTGATGCATTCGATTCAAATACGTAGAGGTCACGGTTGAGCTCTTTTATAGAAGTGCTTATTTATGCTGGCTGTGCTTTGCTGAGTAGTTTTGGTTTCATTCACGTCACCAAACAATCAATAAAACAATGAAAAGAAAATGAAAGTTTCATCACCGGATGTGAGCGTGTGTTCAAACAGCTTCGAGAAAATAAGGAAGTATTGATGTTGAAATCATCGCTGTGCTCTACATAAAGGCTATGGACAAAGAAATAATAGCGACCTATTCATACAATTGGGAATACAATGTTTCCTTTAAACTATAGGCAATGCTATCCTATTTCAAATTCATTGAAAACTGTCTATGAAAAAATCTTAATATTACTGGTCTTTGTGATTCTATTTTCGATGTACTCCTTTAAAAAAAAAAAAGGGTGGGCCCTCCATCATATTTTTTAAATTACAAAGGACAGATTTTAGAACTTGTACTTTATTGTAGATATAGTTTCACTGACCTCTTTAGTATTTTGTGTTGATGCCAAGGGAAAAATAAGAAAAGAGCAGCACGCTGAATTTTTCTTTCAAAAAACCACAAAATCAATGATCGAAGATCACGCCTTCAATGTGTTATAGTTTTGATGTTATTGCGGGAAGGAGCGCACAGTCGTGGTCAATAGCCGGCTAGCGCACGTAAAAGGATATACATGCAGTAAGAAAAAGGCCAAGCTATCATTGGACAATTGCAGAAAACAAATCCTCTTTTTTTACCAGGCGCTATAAATTTACATGATGCTTCAAACTATTCACTTACAACCAAGTAAGTATTTTCATAATACTTTGGGTTTATCGGATTATGCAAAATGTTGCGCCCCTCTGTAAGCGTGTATACTGTTCTACTGCATATAGGATCGAAATAGTCATGCCGTGTGCATGCAAATTAGGTTTCGTACGTAGACGTTTAATAATACATGTAATAGCTTCCTGGCACTTGCTGCACCCTCATGTGTTGTGTTTCACAATGTGTGATTATATTTGGTGGTAATCAATCATTATGAGGTTAACACGCATGCGCGTAACATCAAAACAATCTGGCGATGACAACATTGTTATTTGGAAGAAGTCAGGGATATTCGCATTTGTCACGTCAAGGGTAAAGAGTACTGATTATTACAATAGCATGGTGGCCCTGAAGGGACATCGCATATCGCAAACGTGTGCGCATACGTATGCGATGTCGCGAAATTTATCGCGAATGTGTGCACACACGTATGCGATGTCGCAAAATTTATCGCGAATATGTGCGCACACGTTTGCGATATGCGATGTCCCTTCAGGGCCACCATACAATAGGGAATCATTCGACTTCTGTGGTGAATATGCTTCTCGAGCTTTGAAAGACAGGTTTTCTGTTCCTCTTGCAGCCGGGGAATTCCCCTTGTAAATGAAATGATCGATCATTATGAAAGTAAGTGGTCTGGCAGAGATTGTTATGCTAATTACATATCCGCAGTTAAATCTGACACGGTAGTTGTTAAAATGATTGTTAATATTCTACGCTTCGGTCCTTAATGAATTAGTGCGTTTTCCTATTCACGGACACAAAAAACATTGGATTTTAGGTACCCCGCAAGAGGGCTTTGACATGTTTTGCGAGCCACGATGGGGCTTAAAGGCATGTAAAATCATTTGTACTTCATTCGTTTCCAATAATAACACCACTCAAAACCCAAAGAGGAATATGTTCAAAACCTAACCTGTTGAAGTTTCAGCTCAGTTGATATTACACTTATACAAAGAGAAAAACCATGCACATCCCTTTGATCACGAAACACGATTTAGTTAATTAGGCCCCTACTCTTCAATTCCAACGATCAGTCAATTGACTTCTATAAATGATGACACGCAAGAGGGCTGGGGGACGTGCCCCACGTGCCGTGCCGCCCCCACCCTCTCCTCTCCTCAGTTACGCCAGTGACTTGGACCTGCAAACATGCATGTAAGGTGGTGGATTCCAGTCCTCTGGCAATTTTCAGGGTCAAAGATATCCATGTACTCAGCAATTAAAGCGATCTGCAAATATAGATTAAGGGAAAGTACAGACTTTGCTGATCGTGAGACTGTTTGAAACAATTCAAAAGAAAACAAGGAATGCTATTGCAAAATGTATATATATAGCGCACATTCCTGTGATTGCGAGAGTAGAAACAAGGTGAAACTCTTTGCTTAGTTTAGTTGACGTCAGCAGGGGACGAAACGAAAAGTCCGAAGATGTGCCTCTGCGTTGATATATGAAATTTCATTTGAGATACGGTATACTGATGCTTGGCACATGAATTGAGAATCTCCTCAGCGACAAGGAGAGATCTGCATTAAAAAAGGTATGTTATTTGGAGATTCTTCAATTTCGGAATTGCTGTTGTTTAACTTCTTGTCAAGGGCTGTTTGGGAATTGTGTATTATATTTTTCTTTGAAACTTCAAGCAATTGTGAATGCAACGCGTCATCGTCTTTGCTGATTAATAGGTTAAAACCTCAATAATCCTCAAACGTGCAGTGTGAGCTTCAGGGAATGGATGAGAGTGGGACTCAGTGAGATTGTGATCATATTGTTCTTCACCGGTTAACCCAATCATTCCTTCCCTTGTTTCGAAAAAACTGCGAATATTAGCTGGAAAATTTGGGGAGAGTATTCAGTATTAGACAGGGGCTAAAGTAGGAATCTTAAGGTAAGGGTGGGAGATTATTTACACTTAAGAATTAGTAATTGCAAAATAAGATCAAACTGAAGTAAATACAGCCGGGAAAGAGCAGGGAAGCAATCATCTATGTCAGCGATCAACCAACATGAAATCACTTGCTCTGAGGACTCGATTTTCATAGAATTCGGGAACTTAACGATAAGATGGAAAATGTTTTTAAAAACCTTCAGGGGAAATTGGGAAACTCGTTCACCGGGTTTCCATACAGTTTCTGGTAAATCCGCACATTTTGTAAAAGCACCTATCCCATGTAGAAACCAATTACCCAAATAGCGCCCTCTTACTTCGTTCGCAATATTTAGAAAAAATGCTGCTTACTGCGCTCATCGGGGATTATTAAACAAAACATCACAAGAATAATTAAGAGCTTACTCTGCTGTAGCCTGTAAAGACATTTTAAACTCATTTAAACATGTCTTTTTCGTAGTGCAGTATACATAATCCTTATATGGTCCAACATACTATTTTTACATGTGAATATTTCTAAGACTGAACGTTCATGTCTAAATTTGCCAAGGAGGATCAGGACTAATCGGGGCATCAGCGGTTCCTCTTCATCGCAGGCTTCTTCCGTTTCCTGCAAGTACACTTCACTGTAGGCCTACGACAGGTGGAATCAGAGGGAGTCATGCCATCCCCACCACCATCACCTCAATTCCGTAAGAGACTTGACTTCAGCACCACAAAGGCCTTGAAATAACATGTTTGTCTGGGCTCAAAATGATCATGGGCCTCGCCATGGGCAAGGCCCCCAAAATCATTGTAGCATATTCTCAATTTATCATTGTTTTCGAGGGTGGGCGGGGGGACATTATATTGTCCACCCCACCCCCATTAACACCCCATTTTGTTTAAAAAAAAAAAGTTCCTCCTTTTTTTTTCTTTTTGTTCGGGGGCAAATCGGTAAAGCGTTGCTTTAAATGCAGTGTGTTAGTTCATAGTTATGTGACTTTATTTCCGCCTTCACTGATTTGTCACTGGCTATTCGTCAGTGATCACTTCTCGACAGGATAAAAGAAAATCAATAATTAAATTAAGACATTCTCTGTATGTTTGTTCTTTCTTTGGATTTTTTAAAAGAGGGTGTTGATTTTTTTAAATTGAACTCTACTATCCGATGTTTGAGTTGTGCCATGAAGTTGAGCAATTGTTATTCCCGACAGCTTACAATATGTTAGACGAGACTGGAAAAAGAGACAGCTTACCTAGACCAGGGACTTTCTTCGTTACCACTCTGACCACGCCCACTGGTGACATGAAACCTAGAGACAAGTCAGCCAGTGCAGAGGTAAGCAATGCACACACAAAGAGTGATGGAGCAATAGAGCCCCCCCCCCCCCATAAAACCTTGTCCCCCCAGTCGCCCCCCCCCCCCACTGAGATTTTGAGTATTAAAAAAAATTATCATTGATCTACATGACGCCCCCCATGAAATGTTCCAGCCCCCCCCCCCCCCCAGCGCTCCCCCCCCCCCACCCACTGAAAAATTCCTTGCAACGCCACTGTCTACGTGCCAAAAAGTGAATGTGTTTTGTCTTATTTGACTTTCACAGAGAGACAGGTCGGTGTTAGGGTGTGTTATTACGGGGTCCACCCCTTAGTCCGAACGTTCCATAGTCCAAAGGTTTATTGATCCCAAGGTTTGATGATCTGAATTAAGAATAAAGCTAATGAGTCGGAAGGTTCAATAGTCCTTAGTAAAAACAAGGTTTAATAGTCCGAATCGATAATAATGTTCAATGCTGTCGATTCGGATATCGAACTTTATCGTGTATTCGGACTATCCTCTTACTCTATTTTCGGATTAATGAACACTTCGGACTATCGAGCCTTTGGACTATTAAACCTACGGACTATTGAACCTTCGGATTAATGAACCTTTGGATTATCGAACCTTCAAATAGTGGCGCACCCAGGATTTGGCTTTGGGGGCTCACAATTTTTTTTGTCTTTTTTTTTTAGACATTTTTTTTTTTTTTAAATGTTGCCCAAATTTTTTGGCCGTGGAAAAAAATTGGCGCCATTTACACCCCTATTATACTACTCGAAAATAGGCCACATACAAATCACCACGGTCAAATCGTGGGACTAAATAAATTAATTTACCCGCCCAAAAAATTACAACCTCCTGGGGGGCTCAAATCCCCGAGGGCCCCCCCCCCCCCCCCCCCCCTTTGGGTGCGCCACTGCCTTCGGACTATCGAGCGGTCACCGTAATTAAATCAGGTTTGCATGATACCGGTTTCCCAAGCGCACAACCGGCAAGTCTTTAACCCGCGAGTACAGGGGCGTATGGACTCGACAACATCGTGATGTAAACGACGTGATTCCATGATGGCGGCAGAGTTAGCGTCGCCAAGCTTCTCAAAGGCTACAAGTCTTTCTTAGACTATTACTGCTGTACTTTCTAAATTTCACCTTTTGCCTTTATTTTTTTAGATTTGTAAAATTTTCAACTATATTCAGTTTGTCGTTCCACATTAAACTACTTTCGGTCACGAAAACCTGCCGAACAATATTGCGGAAGCCATTTTGTGGATGACAAATAACACCACGAGCACGTGAATGTGTAATTCAAATGGACATTATATACGCATTGAGTAATGTACCAGTGTGTGAATTTGGTGGACGAAAAAATCCAAACTATACATCTTAATCCAAATTATACATTTAAAATTGAGTTATGAAAGTCAGATCGTGTTTTCCCACGTGCATTCTTAAAGCCCCGTTGTCAAATTCACATTCACGGTAGCCTATCTAGACAGCTGAGAAAACTGGATGGAAATTGAGACTAATTCAGATCGAAGTGTGATGAAGGAACTGTAATAATATTATTATTATTAATCAAATAATAATAATAATAACAATCTGTTTCTCCTCAGTATTAAAACGTATAAAATCCGCCACATTTTTTACTTGATCGTTTGCAGTCTGGTACCGAGGCTGGCTGTGAGGAACCACAATGCGAGATCATCGTACACACGGCCCAGCAGGATCCGCCTCCTACCCAGTATGCCTCCGATCATTGCACACTCTCACTCTTTGTCTTCCTCTGCTGCTTCCTACCATTCGGCTTAGTGGGAATGATCAAGAACCATGAGGTACGCTACCACACACTTAGTAGTCCTGAAAAACTTCCTATCTGCATAAGTTCAATGGTTCGGTCGTTATTAATCGTCTGCGTCATTTACTCACGCGCACTGCTACATTATGTACCTCTTTCTTTGACAACGATCAAGGTATCCGAGGGACATAGTGATGATGTGCACCATGATTAAAGTCGCATGATTAAGGTCGCAGTGGCGAACATCCGTGTCGGCGAGTGGGGGGGGGGATGACCATACGGCGAAATCTTTAAATGCCCTGCCGTGGCAATTCGAAAAGTGGAGGGGAAGGGGGGCTCGACACCTCGTGACACTAGGAGGCGCTGTTCATGATACAATCTAATGTACATGTTGCGCGCTTGAAAGCTTTTGTACTGTTTGTTCTCCTCTTTTCCTAAAACAAAGTAATACATTTTGACCGTTGGAAAGTAACAAGACAATCTTCAAATCATCTTTTTTTTCTCACAACATCAATCTGGGGGATGATTCAATTCTAATGGCCCATCTTCCGGTCCACTTTGGGGATATCACCCTCCCCCTCTCCCAGAGTTACGTCTTTGGACGTTATTGTTGGATGCTTAATTGTGTCGTGTGTCCGCTTGTATCTGAACAGTCTCGTGTGAAGGCCGTTGCAGGTGACTATGACGGCGCTGTTGCTGCATCAAGAGTGGCCTTGAAGTACGCTGTAGCTGGCTGTATCATCGGCACTGTCTGCTACTTGGCATTCGCTGCATTCGGCATGGCTGTCTTGGTCTTGACATTGACGGGTCAGGCTTGATAGCGTCCATAAGTATCGATTCCGAAGCTTGCGATCGCTGAGTATCGAAATCGAATTGATTGCTGTTACATTTCATTGTGCTTTAATAATGCGGTCAAACTAAAGTGAATGGTCAAGACACGAAATTGCAAATAAATTGAAGCGCGCCTAAAGCCCGGTTCGTACTTTATGCGAAAGCGAATGCGAAGCGAAGTTGACGTCATGAAACATTCGCTGCGAAATTCGCCCGAGTTGAAATTCGTTCCACTTTTAAGAATTCGCAGCGCGAATACTTGCCTTGACGTCACAAATTCGGGTTCGCTTTCGCTTTCACGCCGAGCATGAACCGGGCTTAATAACAGTGTTATAACAGTGTGAATTTCAAGTCCGTGGAAATTCATTGCCAAAGTGTTTCAAATACAAATCGACCGTTTAAAAAATTATAGCGTACTGTACAAAGAATGTTTTTGTGATGAAAGTGTGTTATTTTATTTTTTCTTCTTTATATATTTATATATTAAATGACAAGGAGCATATATTGTATTAAGAAAGTTGAACCAAAGAAATGACAAGGCAGCTATCGGAAGGGTTGCGGTTCAATCCCCGCTCCTGTCAATTTCTGTGCTCGATTTTTCAATTATTTTCTCCATTAAACTGTAACATACTTTTTAATCGAATGTTGTTTGAATAAAATGCTCAACTAATCCTTCGCATGTAATAAATGATATATAGGGTTTTGCTCTTCGCCGACGTATTTCTATAAACACTGTTTGTATACTTTGTGTTGTCTCGAGTGATTTTGACGGATGGGACTCGAACCCACCCGAGTGATTTTTTTTCTCACAATCACTCGGGACAGCACTAAGTATCCAGTGTTTATAAAATACGTCGGTGAAGGGCAAACCCCAATATTGAATTTAATCACCCCGACGCACATGCATCTTATGGATAGTTTGACTTATGCGAGCTGGGCGTAGTTTGACTCAAACACGGCGGCTGCTAACGCCTTCCCATAGGGCCTCCTTGCACAAGTGAACATAAATGGTTCATACTCTTATGTGATGTCATTCGCGCTGCGAATTCGCAAAAGTTGAACACATTTTAAGTTGAAGAAAAACTTGAAAACAATTTCGCAGTGAATGTATTGTGACGTTAAATTGGTTTGGCATTCGCATGAAGCATGAACATGCCTCAGGGGGTCTGACGTCTGGTGGCATTTCCGCCATGGTGTTTGGCGCACACGCCAAGACGTATACGGGCTTGATTTGTGCACATTGACATGAAAATAACTTCAAGCGAAAGCGAAGCGAATGTCATGACGTCGACAATTGTGGTTTCATTGCAACGTTTACTGCTTCGCATTAAAATTCGGGTGAAGTACCCATATGGACTGCCCATTGGTCTTGCGTACTTTGCGTCGAACACGCACCATCTATACTGTTTATGCACGGAATCCAAACTGGCATTCAATGCATCAAACACCGATAATCGCAGCACATGGCCCTGTATCAATATGAATTAGACATTTATTGCAGCAAAAGTTCCTTTAATGCAGGAAATGTGAGATGTTGGTGCATGGAAAAATGCTGATTGTAAAATAAAATATATTACCAATATCAATGTAACAACAAACGCTTACATAATATATCTACCATAGGTTTACCGAATTATTTTTTCTTCAAGTAGTTTTTAGAAGTAAGAAACACAACTACATGTATTTTAAAACGCCGTAGATATACATACACAATTATTGCGCAACAGAAACACACCTACCGAATCGATTGAGGATTACTGATTTAAGTATAGGATACAACTTGTGTAAAACCTGCTTGCAATGTTATCTGTCTGCCAAAGTCAGATCCTAATCAGAGTGAGATCCTATATCAGCAAGTTTATACTTCGCCGGTCGGTGCATTAAACTTGTTGTGTACCAAGTAACAGTATATTGAGCTCAATGTCTTCACGGTTCCTCAATCCTATTGGTTTATATGGTGGTAAAAAAAAAGTTTAAAGTTTTAAAGGACATACTGTACAAATTATCGTGAAGGTTACTATATCTTATGTGCATATACGAGGTCCAATCTCTCTTCTTTCAACTTTATATTTGAAACGTTTTGTTTAGAATTTATTAAGCTAAATCCTCAAAATGCGTACCATATTTATCCACGAAACACAATAAAGTGTGAAGATAATGAGTTGAATAAGAGTCTATCTTTACTGCTAAGAGTCTAGATTGCCCCCAGCATCGCTGACATGCAGCCAGTCTGGTTTGACGTCATGCCGCAAGAGGTCTGTGAACACTGCCTTTTTACCTAACGCGCAACAATCTTGCATAAACTTTTCTTTATTTGTTTATTTCACCTTTTCTATAAGGATATTCATAAGAACCGCCCAAATGCAACATATTTCCATGTACAAAAAGGCTGCATGCCCCATATCTGGCAAAACTGCCCTTTCCTTTACGCAAAGCGTGGTGCAGACGAATCCGGGAGGAGGGGGGGGGGAGGCTAGACACCCTCTTTCCAATGGGGCGCTGTTCAAAGCAGAAGATCATGGGCACTTTCGGGCAATAGGTGGCGCTTTTCATGACGGCACAATTGCCGACTTTCGCGAAACGTTTCAAAAAGGGTATTGTTAAAAAGGGCGCTCATGAAGAAAGGATACTCGTTTGAAAAAAATGAAAGCGTTCCAAAATATTGGGCGGGGGGGTAACTACGAGGGGTAACACAACACCCCCCCCCCCCCCCCGATGCTGCCACTCGGAGTGTTAGCGTCCCTGGATTGACCTATCAATCAGGCAACGGTCGCAATGGAAATAGTTTTATTGAAAAAAACATCTCACAACAAAATCCACGACGCGCAAGGTCTGAAGCGATCAACACAAGCGCTGTACCGCATATCAGAGACTTAACGACAAAGATGGCGGAGAATGATGCAGATAGGCAATCTCAACTGAGACGTCTCATGTGACGAGTTTTGACGCAAGAGCGTTCATTCAGGTGTTATTTTTATTTCACTCATCTCTATATATTCAGCTAGTTCTCAATCAGTTAGAATGACTCCTTAGATATTAGGGTCAGGTTCAAGTAAATGGGAAATCGTCTCCGTGTGCATTGATAAATACAGAAGTCTTGAGAACATACTTTTTTGCAGTCTGACTATGTTTTGCATATGAATCGAGGACTCAAATCGGACAATGCTAAACGAAACCATAAGATGGCGCTGTTTCCAGTAAGACGTTTAAGTTTTGGTATGACATAAGTTCATCAAAGTGTGTGTGCTTTAAAACGAAAGGTACGTCCCGTTTGCAGTGATGGGCATGTAATGATCTAGTCTTCCAGTCTGGATTCGAAGTAGGTGCATTTCTGATTAGTGTACTGTGTTGCCGGGTTGTTGATGTTGTAGTAATTCATCTGGCAGTCTAGATTCCTCGCCAAACTGAAGGACCGGCAGTTACACTGCTTAGCACACAACCAGCAGCACTCCATCACGTTCTTCAAATTGCTCACGATTTTGAACGGCGTGGCATCGGAGCCTCAGGGGGCACACCGCCGGCTCTGCTGGGTCCTCGCACATGCTCCACTTGGGGATCGTGGTGTCGCATTCCGTCGAGTCCCAGTCTCCGTTAGCCAGCATCATAGCGCACTGGTTGACCAGGAGGGGCTCCGTAGCGGGCCAATTACGGTACTTGTGTACCGGGGTGTCTCCCATGGATGCCCAGCTCCCAGCGGTGCGGTTGCATCCTAGCCAGAGCTTGTTAGGTGAAGAGGGAATCCCTGCCATGAACTTGGCCCGGATGTACTCATTCTCAGCGGTGGTGTTTAGGACTGTGTAATCCGCGCACAGCACCTTACAGGTGGCCCATCCTCCAGCGTATTGGCGCTTGATTTGGTTGCGCAGTAGGTAACAGTAATCTCCCTCTTGAGTCTATAGGTAGCTGTCCTGAAACCGTGAACATGTTAACGTTGCTGCATGTACATTACCACACATAAACATCCACAATACAGCAAGGCAAAGCATCATGGTTGTTAGGGTACACTCCATGTCATCCAATTTGCTCGGAATACTGCGTGTTTCGTCCCCACCAATACGAACAAACATGGATTTACAACGATTCTTTTACTCGCCAGAATATATATCTGCAAACAAACGATCGCAACTCCTACATGTTGCATCCAAATAAGTAAGTTCAGTATTCCAACTGCGCATGTGCCAACAAGATTTGACAATATTAATTTTCGTACAATCACAAGCTAGGAAGAATGGAATTTAGCTCGTAAAGGCCTACTAAAGAATGTAGAAAACAGCAAATTCAGCAAATTTCAACTAAACTTTTTGGAATTTATTCATTACTTGAGAACAAGATTTTTTCTTCAATTGCGTTACACTTCCCTATGATTGTACGTAGACACATATTTTTTTTACCCCCAAAAGAAAAAAACTTGCGATTTCGCAAACAATGGAGCTAATTATGATTTTCTTCCAAAAAATGTTGTTTTTAATACGAATGTTTACCCAGTGCAGTGGATTGCCGCGATAGTCTCAGAAGACATTATTTTGTTTTCTGGTTGTTTTCGGTACTAAGCGTTTACTTGGTGTTTGGTGGTCTCGCAAAATCAAAAGGTAACATTTTACAACAAACTTGAAATTGATGAGGATCGCTGTACATGCCTCTCAAAGTAGAAAATCCTTCCAACCCTGCCTTGCTTGCGTGTCCCTGCATGTTTGCTTCCAACCCTGCCTTGCTTGCATGTCCCTGCATGTTTGCTTCCAACCCTGCCTTGCTTGCATGTCCCTGCATGTTTGTTTCTTGTCCATGTGTCATTTGCCTCTGAAGAAGTCCTTGCTTAAGACAAAATACATCAGTCCTCTCTAACTTATTGAGAGTAGAAACTAATTTTAGAATCCTCGAAAATAGTTTAATTTCAAGTCTCGGTGGAAATTTTGTTTGAATGTTTGTGAAAAACGACAAAAAGTGTATCTAATTTTATCATTTCTCAAGAAATTCGTTTGGCATTCGCATGTTCGATTTACGAACCGGCCTAAGGGAGTCTGACTTGATTGTATTTACGCTATAGAAGAACGACAATATATGTTTTAAATGTTACTTTTTATCAAAAAAACGTCATTTTAGGAAATCAAATTGGGAGGAAGTTAACGAGGTTTTACGGATCCTTTTCCATCACATGTGAAGGTTTTTTTAGAACCTGCAAAAGGGGTTCGGCAGAAGACAACCTTGGTTGCAAGCACCCATCGGTAACCAACATACGATGTCGCAGGTCGTATATCATCTTTAAAAATGACCAAAACTCAGGACAAATAATCGTTATGTGCACCGAAATAACGAAGTTGTACGCTATTTAAAGTTCAAGTACCAAAGTTAGAGAAGTAAACAAGCATGTGTGGGTTCAGTTTTTCGTGACAAAGTTCAAGTTCCGTTTGATATTGGTACGGTGCTGACGCAGCAGATCAGCTGTAGCGAAGTTACAATACCAGCTACAATTATCACTTGAGGCTCAGCTGACATGGCTTAGGGATAAGCAACCGACATAAAGACAGCATAGAAGTAACTCACAGTATAAAGTAGTCATAAACAACAACTGACTTATTTAAAACTGTCAAGAGATGGATGGTCCTCGAAGCGACACAATGTCTGCGCACAGTGACATATCAGCAAGCAATGTTAACCTGCAACGGAAGGTGACCCTACTGAATGCTGTGACAGTTATCGTGGGTTCCATCATCGGATCTGGGATCTTCATCTCACCGGTCGGCGTGTTGTCTAACAGCGGCTCGGCCGGGCTCTCAGTGTTGATCTGGGCGGCCTGTGGTGTCATGTCCCTGGTAGGTGCACTGTGCTACGCCGAGCTAGGCACCACGCTGACCGCATCGGGAGGAGACTTCACCTACATCCGGACAGCCTTCGGCTCTCTGCCCGGCTTCCTGTACCTCTGGGTGTCCATGATGGTATCCTTTCCATCCCAACAAGCCATCATAGCCAAGACTTTCGCCAACTATGTGTCACTACCTTTCTTCCCTGAGGTAGAATGCCCACCGTCTGAGGAGCTCCGTGGCATTCTGGCAGGGGTCTGCCTGGGTAAGTCTGTAGTGTTATGGGAATCGCAAATCACAAGGCCAAAGGCAAGGGCATGGGCGTCGCAAGCGCCCTCCCCCCCCCTTGCCCCCCCCCCCCCCCCAAACGAAAAAAAAAGAAGGGGAAAAAGGGTAAGGAAAAAGAGGTGCGAAGCCATTTTTCTGTTAATTTGATGGGGGGGGGCAAATGTTCCCCTGCCCACGCTCGAAAAATGATAAATTGAGGCTATGCCTATGTTGAAAAAGTTAAGAAAAATTTGCTTTGCCCCCCCCCCGGGAAAAATCCTGGCGACGCCCATGGCCAAGAGCCAATCTAGGCGGTGACTACAAACTAGAAATGAAGAAGTTATTAATTACAGAGAGACAAGGAATCTGTTAATATCTCGCTATAGGCCTAACATAAAAGAAGGGGCAAGCACGATCTTGGCAAGAAGTTCCACAGTGAGACCTTGAAAAATACTTGACCATATACCAGCCCATTGATCACAATGTATGGACTACGGGAAGTGGTAAACTTAAGACTGCGGAGGCCTACGATAGAGTGCCAAAGAGCATACCAAACAAGGATTTCAAGGGCTTCAAAAATACACAATGAAACAGAGTGGTTAAAAACTACTTCAGTATAGGAAACAAAACCCAACAGAATGCAAGATACAATCCAAACATTACGATGAACAAAAGAAAACAAACTTTTGGCACATCAAGTTATCAGTTCCTCCGAGATTAAAGTCTACTCATAAACAACATCACGACGTGGTGTTATACCGCAAACCTGCAGGCGTTGAAAATCACTCAATTTTTGAATCACAATATTAGCAGCGTGCAGTGTTAATGTTTTGTGCATAATTGGGAGCAATATGGCTTCGCTATTGTGTTGCTACTGTGCACGGACGGCGATCCGGACGGAATGGGGGACCCCAATAATTTAAGGTTGGGTGACGCCAGTGGCGTACATTGCCCCCCCCCCCCGACCCCCATAATTTACCCCAGTGCGTATAGATTTTGGCCTAATTTACCTAGTCGCAAATATCTATACATTTTAGAGAGTATAGTTCATTAGCTTTCAATATAAACGAAAACAATCTCTCCAATCGGGTAAATATTTATTGAGTTATGGCCAATTCAAACTAAGTGCCGATTTTTCTATCTGTCCACGGTTTCAATTGTCAATTGTAAGGAATGTAATGGATTTGGGGTGAGGGTAATTTTTCTTTCTTTAATGTTGAATTTTTTTTATTTATGTTGTTCACTTTATTAATTAATTTGTGGAACAATGGTCATTTATCCTTTTGGATGTAATAGAAAAATTAGTCCTGAAAAGAACTGTTTGGTTAACTTCTTAGATGTTTACTTTGCTGCTCTGTCTCTGCCCTCTACTTGCTAGCCTTTTTCACAAATTCAAGTTTCGGTCCGTGTTCTTATCGCGGCAGTCAAACTTTCAGTCGCGCTTTTTCCAGTTGGCCATAACTCAATATATATTTGTCCGATTTGAAATATCTTTTTGTTGTTAAAAAGCTAATGGACTATACTCTTTAGATATGTATAATATTTTCGCTCTATTTTAAACAAAGCTGTGAAATATAGGATGCTTTGGGGTTCGGTAGCTGTACGATTATGCTTGTGCACCAGTCTTTTCACTGAAATCACCTTCCGCACATATTCACACTTTGTCGAGGCGTTGAAACCTTCGTTGCTCTGACTCTCTGGAAATCAATTTTTACAGTTATTTTCATGATTCGTTTCGACTTTGTCATTTATTCTTTTCTTAGTTACCCTGTCAATCGTTAATGGGTTCAGTGTGCGGCTAGCTACGCGTGTTCAGGATGTCTTCACTCTTGGCAAGATCTTGGGACTGCTTCTCATCATCATCATGGGTATCATACATCTCGCCCGAGGTAAATATGTTCCACTTTTTATAAGTGAGTTAAAGAAATAACCATTCATCAGTAATTCGACAAGAATAAAGGCATGGTCCGCCTCATTTGGTAGACACACACATCAATGGATAGCTACCGTAATCAGCTTTTAGTAACGATGACACCTGGGTAAACATCAGCGAACAAAAGCCTCACCCTGATTCGTGGCTGTTATCGAGGTCCTTGGAAGGGATAGCAGGTCATCACAAGTCAATCAAAAGTTGATCATAAGTCATCAAGTCTTACGTTCATCAGTCACAAGCTATTCAAATAAACTGCGCCTTTCTTTTTCATGATTCATCCTTTGTTTTCTGTGACTGGACTTCTGAATTGAGTTGTGATTGACTTGTGACAGGACTTGTGATGTATTGTGATCCCTCACTAGTACCTAGCCTACAACACTGCCCTGTGATTGTCATCAAGTTGCATTTGCCGTTAGGTGAAGAAGTGTGTGGTGCTTAGGGTAGTACAATCGATAAAAAAAGCTATATACGATATAAACTGTATTCTATAACTATTTCAAAGGTATTCATATAAAATTTCTTCTTTTTTTAACTGCATAAAACTGTGTGTTTATCATACAAATTACTGTCAATATCATACAAGTTACCGAGTTACACATTTCCACAATTCGTTTCCCCAAAAAATGGCAAATACAAGGGTTAATATGTGAATGTACAGCTACATGTTTAGAGCATGCAATAACGACAGAGAATAAAAACCTACCAAAGTAACCCAAGTTTAGGGTTTCTGGTAGTTGTCCATGTCATCACTGATGAAATAGTCCACACCCTTTGTACCTGCAAATGCCCCGCCCTTCCAATCTTATCAAGCGGGCACACTGAAGCGAACCCGCTTGATTCCAACCTAACAAAAACTATAACTTGAGAGTTCAATGTACTTACAACTGGCAAAAGGCAGAAGTGTCGAAATAATGGTGAAGTTGACACACCAGAAAATATACTAGACGGCAACCCAGCAACCAACCCCGGCATCATTTCAAAGGGCAACGTTCAAAGTGCCGCGTGTTTTTCAATATGATGCAATAGTTGGTCAAGCTTGCGCCTAGTGGGAAATGCTAACACTGAGTTAAAGACCAGACATTCATTGCATTGCAAACAAATATAGTTAAATATATTGAAATCCCGTGATTCCAATAGTACCATTTATCATGATAAACAAATCGAAAGCTAGGATTTTTGGTAAATAATATTGATTTTGTCGTAGTGGCATGGGGCCCCTGTCTTTATATCATTACTCATATCATAAATTGCTGGCCCTTCTGTTCTGCTGGCACTGAATGTGCTGTAACCGTGTAATAATGAATGAATATAAGTATAACACCACCTCCGTGTCACCACTATTGGCGATGTCGAGAGATTCATACACAAATCTAGTCCGTGTGAAAAATAATACCAGTCAATATTTCAAAATAGTCACGTGACTTTAAAGAATGTGCTAGCAAAATCATGAGAATTAAAAAATACACTTAAAGTAATCATGTGGCCGATCCATCCAGCTCCAGACGATTATTATAGCACACTTAAAGTACACACTAGGACCGGAATTTACTCGCGCATCTTGCAAAGGTATACATCGAGCCTAATGTTTACCCCACTTCCTTGGCTGTAATATCTGCTATCACATGAGGGTACACGCACATTATTGTGCCTAATAAATAAATTAGTTTGTATAATAAAACCAAACAGTAATAAACAACTGGTCGTCCACCCTTCCATACCATGCAGATAAGTGCCATTTGTGCTTTCTCCTGTAATCAGGCACCACCAGCAGTTTTCAAGACAGCTTTGATAGCGTGCCTGGCCAAGCAGTGTCTCCTACTGGAATCGCACAAGCTGTATATGCTGGACTCTTTGCTTACGGTGGCTGGTAAGTGACAAACTTTGACAGAAAGTCTCCTAAAATTCTCGTTTATCCTTTTTATGTGGCCTTCTTAGTGCCGCACACATTTGCAAATGAAATTGTTTCCCGCATTAATAAATCCTTTAGCCGAATGACCTTTTTACCTTCGAATGTTTTACTTTATTGATAAGTAACTTGAGAAGTTCGAAATCTTTTTATGTATCACCTTTTTATACAAAACTAATGGGAAGCAGAGCAGTGCATGCCATGCTCATGTTTTAATGTCAAAAATATTTGTCCTCATATATATTTGTCCTTAACAGGAACAATCTGAATTTCCTGACGGAGGAACTGAAAAACCCCAACAGGTAGGAAAAGACAAAGAAGTTAATATTATTTAATGTTACAAGTCAAACCCCACCAAGTGACAGTACACACGCAATTTTGTCCTTCACGTCCTCTGAATATATATCGCACACGGCATTAGACCCATGCACGATAGATCCCCAGTTGTAACGCGAGCGCGAAAACGGACTGAAAACACACGTATGGAAAACGGAGCTTGAAAGAGTTATTAATGCCTGCAATCCAGACGATTTGATGTTATGGAGTTTACTTATGTTATTCCAAAGGTCTGGTTGAAAGGAAACTAACCTATTGTCTTACCGTTCCTGAATAAAGACGAAAACAAAACATGTTGTTCACACTGGATGCAGCGGACATTTTGTGGCATATGTATACGTATTTCCAGCTGCATCTACGCTTGGCCCAGGCGGTGGAAGCACGCCTTACGGTGGTAATGTTCTCGTTGTTGACAAGTAAACCCCGGAAAAGACTGACAAAGCTGCTGTAATTTGATAAATTTGAAACAATAGCGGTGTTTTTGTCACCGAAATGAGTTAGTATATTCACTCAACTGATGAGCACACACGCGGTTTTTTTTTTAGAAATGCTTCGAAGAGAATTTGTGCGACTGGAATCACGACTAGCACCCAAACAGCTCGATTTTTCCGAGTCAAAATTTTGACCCCCGAAAAACATCTAAAAAAACACAAAACACCCGGCTTTTAAAGGATGGTTGTGTGGACGTTTATATCCTTGGACTGCTCTTTCCAATTAACATACTTTCGCTAAAAATGCGTTGTGTAGCCCAAGTTTGGCGCATTCCAGGACGTAATGCCCTTTAATAAGGGCTTTTATTCGGGTGATGCAATATTTTGTTGTGGTGATCCAGGTGAATCGCTCGCATCAGTCAGTTGCCGTGTCACGCGTAGCTGCTCTATTTTCTTGTCCGCACAACTGACAGCAACACGAGGCCAGCGAACGATGGCCGTAAAAAGGGTAAAAAAATTCGCAATTTTCATGGCAAACCACAACGATCCAAACAAACAAAGTTGTTTTTAGGTAGTTAAAGATCTACTTCATACATCCATCAAGGTATTTTGTTTTCTCAAAAAAAAGGATTTTGATGCATTTTGACAATATTATTTCACGGACAAATCGACTAAAAATTAGGTCATGAAATTTCCGGTTTTTTTTCGACAACGACGAAAGTCTCCCAAACGTTGAGGTAATCAAAGGAAAGAATGAACCTTCATCTACAAAAAATCTCGTGAACGTGATGTCGTAGATATTTTAAGAATTCGATGTACACCTAATGTTTCCAACAACTTCCATTTTTCACAACGCGAAAAGATCGTCGCCATTGTAAAGCATAGAGCGAAGAACCCACGGTGTGACCTTCTGGCCCATGCGCCCACTGATTGATCGAGCTCGAGCATGGCCTGCTTAATATTCATAAGTCATTCGTTGTTTTCAGGCCAACGTACGTCGGCGTACTTATACTTTCGTTTACACGCGTACATGTGGTTGCAAATCATGAAATCTCGCAAAAGTCTTCATTTTTCAACCGGCGATTTGGACCAAACATTAGAAGTCTCCTGCACGTGTTTCACATGAAAATGAACATTAACTATATATTCCTCTATCTACTGAGCCTTGCCGTTTCTTTCGGCCTTTTTAAGAATCGAATGTACACCTAAAAACTATCGGCCCTCGCTTTTGTTGATGAAAAATATGATTTTGTTTGACAGGCCGTAACAACACTTTGTATTTGTCAAAAGCAGGTTTTTTGTGTCAAATTAAAGCACACAATTTCAACTTTTCACTTATTTAGCCATCTTGGCCAAACAGTGCATGTATTCAGGCACTTTTCGTGTTTTTCTGTAATCTCGAATAAATCTCGTAAAATCTTGCGTGCGCTTTTGGGCCATGCGTGCGTGACCTCGGGACAAGAAACTGAGGTCAAACAGGGCTGTGTGCGTGACAAGGCCACTGTGAGATCCCTTACCGCCCGGTTCCCAGACGGTCTGGGCTAAGCCTCGCCCACTCCGAGAAAGGGATTGGGACTCCTCTCCAAAGTGGGCGAGCTCGGATTAAGAAAACGAAGTACAAGTCTGACTGGTGGGCCCTCTCCTGAACCTAACAAAAGAAGCAATTTGCAAGGCGATAATCCTCACTGCCGGGTAACAAAGACCCGGCAAATCAAAGGGTGCGCCGCCGGTAATCCCTGCCATGGACTGCTATTGTTGGTGACCCTCGCGCAGGCCTATTGAAAAGCTTGAGCGATCAGTTAACAACGGTTTCAATTAGTCACATGGTACGTTTTTCTCCCCTTAAATGTATACAAATGTATACGGACATGCACCGATGAATCCCTGAATCTGACTTTTAAAGCAAACAGGGTTGGTATTTTGTTCAGTATTAAGATCAGAATTCCCCAGTTTGTTCTATTTACGTGCATTAAAGTTAATGTGCTCGCTGCGACATTAGAGTTTCGTTTATCACAAAGTATAGTGAAAGGGTATCAGACTATTATGTTTACAGCGTGTATCACACTTTCTGTCTGACACCCAGTCCTGGCGTTGCAACAAAGCAGTGCAAATGGGCTGTTCCTTCGGTTACATATACCCCGTTGGGCTGTATGTATTCGATATTAAGACATGAGGGAGATCGTTCAATGAATGACAAAGAAGGTTTGCTCTGCGCTCGCTTGACGCCGGTGTAGCATGAATTTAGGTTGTATGAAGTACTGACTCATTGGAGGTGTTGCGCATGCTCTTGCATAGATAATTAGGAGATGGACCGGTCACGTGAGAGGGTTTAACCAATAAAAGGGGAAAAAGAGTCCGATTTCCATATGAGTCCGATTTTCGTATGACACCGGGTCCCGTACACGGATGACGGGCGGGAACGTGGTCCATGCAGTAGTCATTCACAAGTTGCTTTCACAGCTCAATGGTTTGACTATATTAGAATGTACGTGTTCACGTACAATTTTGCAATGTCTTATCTTGCAATTCTAGATAGAAATTAGAATAGTTAGAAAAAATAGTCCAACTATTAATTGAAATGAGTCTCAGGGTGAACAAATAATGTACACATAAAAATCTGGTTTCAGGATTTAAAGTGAATGAAGTTTTTGCGTCAACAGAAAAACTTAAACCTTAAAACAAAGGGGAATACAGAACTTTGCAAACTAGGCAGTTGTATCAAGTTTATTTGTCAAATGATTTCATGCAAAAACAAAATACTTGCATTCTATGAAGCTAGAAAAGAATACAATTCCACAAAAAATAGAATGATTGCCAGTGTATTCCACACCAACCCAACCTGAGTTGGGCACTGTAATCCTCGAACAATAACCACTAATCCGTTGATAGCGACCAAGAGAGTCACTCCAGTCAACCAAGCTCACGCTTGAATAACCGAGCGTTCATACCGATCGGGAGCTACAGAGTGGGTCATTCCCACCTGCTTCTCGAGCATCATGCTTGAATAAAAGAGTGACCAGTATTCATACCGATCGGGGCTACCGAGTGGGCCACTTCATACCGATCGGGGCCCAAGCCCGCCCGCTTCTATTCTCAAACGGGTATCAGACTTTTCTGTTTAAAATGCGTATGAATTAACGTGAATAAGGGGCAAGTGCGGTGTCGTAGTCTAAAATTCAAAAACATCACATTATTACCACACGCAAAACAATTCATGTTCATCATAAGGGGAATACTTTATTTCAATTAATACAGAATGAGGTATTTCGTACATTTGATCAAATCCGAGAATATAGATATCGAAAATTGTATTTCTAAAAATTCAAAGAAAAAAATTCACACAATTGTTCACATACAAAACTTTGCAAACTAGGCAGTTGTATCAAGTTTATTTGTCAAATGATTTCATGCAAAAACAAAATACTTGCATTCTATGAAGCTAGAAAAGAATACAATTCCACAAAAAATATAATGATTGCCAGTGCCTTCCACACCAACCCAACCTGAGTTGGGCGCTGTAATCCTCGAACAATAACCACTAATCCGTTGATAGCGACCAAGAGAGCCACTCCAGTCAACCAAGCTCACGCTTGAATAACCGAGTGTTCATACCGATCGGGAGCTACAGAGTGGGTCATTCCCACCTGCTTCTCGAGCATCATGCTTGAATAAAAGAGTGACCAGTATTCATACCGATCGGGGCTACCGAGTGGGCCACTTCATACCGATCGGGGCCCAAGCCCGCCCGCTTCTATTCTCAAACGAGTATCAGACTTTTCTGTTTAAAATGCAAAACAAATTCATGTTCGCAAAACAATTCATGTTCGTCATATGGGGAATACTTTATTTCAATACAGAATGAGGTATTTCGTACATTTGATCAATTCCGAGAATCAATATAGATATCGAACATCGTATTTCGAAAAATTCAAAGAAAAAAAATCACACCTTGATCATCTAGCTTTTAACCATTGTTCATATATATATAACTTTGCAAACTAGGCAGTTGTATCAAGTGTATTTGTCAAATGATTTCATGCAAAAACAAAATACTTGTATTCTATGAAGATAGAAAAGAATAAAATTCCACACCAACCCAACCTGAGTTGGGCGCTGTAATCCTCGAACAATAACCACTAATCCGTTAATAGCAGCTATTGTTGTGACCCTGAGGGCCACTCCAGCAGTCAACCGAGCGTCATGCTTGAGTAACCGGGCGGGTACAGTGTTCGAAGTGGGCGGCAGCTTACTGGGCGGGCCGAGCTCGCCCGGTTCTCGAACGGTCCCATTCCGGATCTCATTCCTGACTGGCATTAGTGCCCGTTGCGTAGTTCGGCCTACGGTTTAGAAAAAAAACTGTTGAAATGCAAGACGGAAACGAAAAGAACTGAAAACGCTTTTGTGACTTAATGCACGAAGTCCATGGCGTTTCGTAGCGTATCATTGTGAGCAAATAGGACACGATCTCATTCCGATCGCCAATCACGACACGACACTTATTGATCAGATATCTGTCTTTGTAATGACAGGAATATGCCTCGTGCGATCCTCATAGCTGTGCCATTGGTAACTGCCATATACGTCCTGGCAAACATTAGCTACTTGGCAGTAATGAGTCCTCAAGAAATGCTCATTTCACAAGCAGTTGCGCTGGTAAGTCTCCGGTGTGAGTGAAGTGCCATCAATTAATGTGGATGCAAATCGGTTTCCTCTTCGGACAGGTGGTGTAATAAGTAAAATTACACATTAATTTATCAAAGGTGCTACTCCAGCCTTAATCTATCCATGACCTGGGACGTGATCTACGGCATCGTATTCCTTCATGGTCAAACAAATGGCACCTTTATTGGGTCGAGTTGTTAAGGTCTGGAACCCGACCAGATCGGCAAAAAAAGGAAACAATTTCATCATTCGGGAAGAAAACTGTTCATTTTAAAATTGTGATTGCTATGGTTATTCCAAAGTGAGGAAAGCACTTAATGTCCCTCCTCCTTCCAAAAATCTGGTATCCACTCCTATTTTTTAAAAGTGCTTTGAACGTCATGATTCACGGTCTCGAAATAATCGAGCCTTGTGTGCGGCTTGTAAAAGAATCGTCCCAACACGTCCACCTGTCATTCCATTGGTCTGCTCTTAAACAGACGTTCGGCAAGAAAGTCTTAGGAGCAGCATCCGTCATTATGCCCATAGCGGTTGCCCTGTCCACGTTCGGCGCAGTTAACGGTATGCTCATGGCGAGTTCACGGTAAGTAGTCATATCAAGCTTCAAACTATCCAGATAAAACCTTTAAGGAACACCCATACCTAAATGTTGGCTATATAACGAGCATCCTCTTGGCTCCTGAATTGAAGTTGCGTTGCCCGTGCTATAATTTGAGTTTCATCCCGATAACTAGATTCCATTTCTTCATTGTTTTTTTTTATAGCAACACAAACATTTTTCACTTTTGGATGAGACATCGACCGAAAAAAAACCGGCCCGTGTTTAGTTATCGAAATATTTCTTTACGGTTTTGAATTATTGGCTGCCGATAATTCTGTTCTTTCGGGGTAGGCTGGTTCCCACCCCATAATCACAGTATCAATAACGTACGGACCGGGAGTCAGTTTGTCGCAAAACGGATCTGTTTGTGCCCAACACAAAAACCTTTTTTGAGAGGGTTGCAGACGTTCAGAAAGGAGGGAAGTTTTGCTTGGAATAAAACATACACGTTGAATGCTTTTTTAATAGAAAAAAATAATTTGTTGAAGAGCACGGGGAAGGCAACCTATACCTAGTGTACAATAATACCTGTAGCGAGACATAAACAAATACTGTACGAGATGCCGTACATGATTTTTTAACCAAGTTCTGTTGGCTCATTAAAGTTCAAGTAATTTGGGTTCACCGTGTCACCTTTTTTTTCCAGTTGGTAAAATATGAGGTACCTTCAGCCTCATCCGAATTATTTGCCTATGTCTTGCAATACACAAGTGTCTTTGGAAATGCTGGCAGAAGCCACATCCCATAGACATGTGTGTAACTTTTGGCCGCAAACAAAACATAGTAAATCGTGACGTAATAAACAGGACTCGTTTATACTACGCTGCATCGGGAGTCCTGTTTATTACGTCACAATTTACTATGTTTTGTTTGCTGCCCCCAACAATGACTTTTACACAAATTGCATGTTCGGGTCGAAACAGGACCTGAAAAACAGCTCTAAGTACCTTTTGTACTCATTTCATGACAGACACAATAGTCGTTTTTATTTCATCACACCTTAGGCTATATATACCTGAAAAATGACGGAAAAGTCTTCGAGCATTCCACAACCTCTTTAACACGTGGCCTTAAAAACCGCTGGGGTGGATTTTCTTTTTATTTTGAATAAGAACAGCAGAAACACGGATTGTTAAATTCAATGATAGACGTTTTTAGAGCCAAGTTCAGGCGGTCTGCCCTTGACACGGGAATATTGTTCTCGCGCTCGAACGATGGGAACACGACCCACGAACACTACACTCGGCGAACAGGATCACACACCACCAACCTCGTCCCCAGTGCTTACTTTATTTCCGTCCTCGTTTCCAATAGTAAGCCCTGGATAGGAAACTTTCTTCCTGTATCCTGATTCGAAACCGCAATTGGCTAGTAATGGATTTTTATCATGTACTTGGTGTTGTCATTTCCAACGTGCATTATGTGTTTTCACGATAATTGTAATTATAACGTCCAGGCCCTCTCAAAAATACTCCTCTCCTTTCCAATGTGCTCATATTAGTATGAAATGTGATACTGCATATTGGCGGGATAAGATTGTAACATTTTAACTTAAAAAAACAATCGTGTTTTCGTTACTCACGGCGCGACGAATTGATGCTGGTTTATACCCCAGATACCGCATACAAAAAAACGCTATTGTAACGCACATGCAGGCACCAGTCTATTCCTCATTTGCATACGTATTCAAAACTTGTGCACATGCAAATTGTCTAATTAATACCAGGGTGAGAGATCAGTTAGTGGTGAGCGCGTACTGTTCGACACCCCGGGGGACGAGGTTGCACACGCCACCCGTCAGGGTTTTGCAAGAACAATATACCCGCGTCAAGAACAGACCGCCCGAACGCGGCCAAGAGTTGTATGAAAGCATAGAGTAGTCATGAAGTTGACATAAACAAAGCTTCAAAATAACACGCTCAACGCAAGTATGAAGCGGGTATTGAGTTAAAGTGAAGGTAGCTTGGACATCCACTGTCCGTTACTCTTTCCCTTGCTCCCTTGCCATTATTTGGATGTTTTATATTATTGAACGTTTCGTATCGATACAGGGTTAATGCTGAATTATCATGGCAGCCTGGGCTCTGGAAATATACCCATTGTACTCCTTTGCATTTAAACATTTAATGATGCAATCCTTCTGTCATTGGGGCTTAGGTTGAGCTTTGTTGGAGCCCGTGAAGAGAAATTACCACAGATCCTGGGAATGATTCACGTGGAACGAAAAACACCTCTGCCAGCCATTATATTCATGGTAAAACATTTATAAAAATACTCTAGTGTTTTACATCGAAGTATTTGTACCGTTCCTTTTGATGAAAGTCAAAAGCAGAAATGCGGGGCCTACGAAATGATATGCGCCCGATGAGTGGCTGATTTAAATGGCTTCTGTTAATTTATACCAAAACTTAATGACACTACTCACGTGTGGGCTGGGCAGAAGAGCACTTATTTATTTTCTTGAAAACTATTGTAGCAGCTCAAATTCAGGCTGTTAATTACGCGGTATGATAATGAAAAGAAATACCTTTCTGGACACAGTGAAGTGACTTCATTGAGCACCATGATATGTTTTTTTTTTTTCATTTTATCGTTTTGCGACTTTAACGGTGCCATGTAAAATCTATTGCTGTTTATGCAGCATGCTGAACCCTGTTGAATCATTAAACAACTTAACTTGATTTGTACATGTGCTGTGGTTGTGTTCTTTCCCAGTGTTTCATGTCACTGATGTATCTCTTGGCGAGTGACATCAATCAGCTACTGAACTACTTCAGTTTCGTGTTTTGGACTGGTGTCGGGGTCTCGATCGCTGGAATGTTGCTGCTGCGTTGGCGAAAACCAGACCTGGAGCGACCACTAAAGGTAAACTAGTTTAGTGGGGAGAAGGGGGTATCGTGCAACCTCGGAAAACAATGTCTAATTGACGTCTTTAGGCCAGAAAAATTGCGTAGAAAACGATTTGCTGTGTTAAAAAAAAAAATTTTAATGTCCCACGTATTGTTTTAATGCAAATTAGTGCCGCCATTACCAAAAAATCTATTGTTCACTCTATCTCAGCTAATATTGCAGATAACTTAACGAATAAGGTGTCTAAACCCGTGTTTTTAGGGTCAAATATCACAATAAAACTATTCTGGAAGTAGCAACATGTGTCTGTGGCATAGGATTATGCAAATTAGTGCCGCCATCACCGGAAAACCATGTTTTCAGCATATCTCGGCCAATGTTGCATATCACTACACAAGTAAGGTGTTTTAACCCATGTTTTGAGGGTCAAATATCATTCTAAGACCATTTCTGGAGTAACTATGTGTGTCACGTGTGTTCTTGGCATGTAAATACGTAAATTATAAAGTGCCGATTTATTAGACATTTGATTTTTAGCCAATACCTCATCCAATATTGCGGCTAATATTGACAGAGGGGTTTTTGAGGGCGATACTTTCGCAAGGTTATCTTTCATCTCCCATTCTTTTTCCCATTCCTGATAAGCAGTAGTAATAAAAGTTGATTTTGAGCCATTATTTGCAAAAGAAACTGCAATAGGAGCGCAGATGTGCATATGATGTGCATAGATGGCTTAAAATCAACTTTTATCACTACTGCTTATCTGGATTAGGAAAAAGAATGGGACATTGAAGATAAAACTGCGAAAGTATTGCCCTCAAAAACCCCTCCGTGAACATTAGCTGCAAAACTGGCTGAGATATTCACTAAAAAGCAAATTTCTGATAAACCGACACTTTAGAATTGACATATTTACCGTATGCCAAGGACGCATGACACACACTATACTTTAGGAATGGTCTTAGAATGATACCTGACACTCAAAACATGGGTTAAGACACCTTACTTGTGTAGTTACGAGCAATATTGGCCGAGATATGCTAAACAAGTGATATTCCGGTAATGGTGGCATTCCTTCGGTGCACTAATGTGCATATTCCTATGCCGCAGACACATGTGGTCACTTCCAGAATAGTTTTATTGTGAGCTTTGAACCTGAAAACATGGGTTAAGACACCTTATTCATTCAATTATCTGCAATATTGGCTGAGATACAGTGAAAAAAAAAATTGGTAATGGCGGCACTAATTTGCATAAAAACAATACGTGGGAAATTTTTTTGAATTTTTTAACAAAGCAAATAGTTTTCTACGCAATTTTTCTGACCTAAAGACGTCAATTAGAAATTGATTTCCGAAGGTACACAATACCCCCTTCTTCCCACCTAACTAAACCACGTAGAGGCTAGATTTCCAAATGACAAACTCTGACGCGTACGGAGTTCTTCGTGAGAAATGTATTCCTAACGCAAGATATCATCGCCCGAGATATTAATTGCGTGACTTGCTGACATTATTTCCGCAATGTATTTTTTTTTTAATTGACGTTCTTACGTTTTAATCACACTGGATTTCAATTACTTGCGTTAATTTATTTTCGTATTAAGTCTCGGCTGCTGGGGATTTTCTCTTATGCTGGTTCTGTTGCTTCATCTGCAATTCTGGTTGATGAAAATGCTTTACTGGCTTCTGCTTCAATTACTTGAAACTAGCGTACACCTATTTTATTTATATATCCGCCCATCACCCAACCTCGTCCTCAGTGCTTACTTTATTTCCAACCTCGTTTCCAATAGTAAGCCCTGGATAGGAAACTTTCTTCCTGTATCCTGATTCGATACCGCAATTGGCTAGTAATGGATTTTTATCGTGTACTTGGTGTTGTTATACACAACGTGCAGTACGTGTTTTCGCGATCATTCGTCCACGCCTTCTCGAAAATACTCATTTCCTTTCCAATTTGTTAATATTAATAAAAAAAATATGATACTGTAGGTTGTCTCGTTAAGATTGTAACAGTTTAATTAAAATAAAATCGTGTTTTCGTTACTCAGGCCATGCTCGCGCTGCGACGAATTGACTATGTTTTTACCCCAGACACGGCATGAGACGCTAATGTAACGCACATGCAGGCACCAGACTATTCCTCATTTGCATACGTGTTCAAAAACCTTGCACATGCAAATGATCCAATACCAGGGTGAGAGAGCAGGTAGTGATGGGCGCGTACTGCTTGACACCCTGGAGACGAGGTTGCCCATCGCCATTACTGAGGTAGCGCAACCGTTAGCACATCCACGCCGTGAAATACTGCTTAAGTTAGCAAATTTTTCTGCTATGCTAAGCACAACTTTTCTGCTAACTGTTAAGCAGCGCTGTGAAATTTGGGCCCAGGTGGCGCGCTTCCGGACCCCTCGAATAGGAAAATTAGCGTGCAAAAGTCGGAGTTTTTTCAATTATTTTTGGTACATTGATTTCTTAAGAAAATCACCATCGAATAAGGCCTTTGTAAAATTGTTAGTTTATGGAAACTGAAAAATCGCTGACGTGAAGGGAAAATCGTGCAAAAAAATTGACCTCTCATCAAGTTCCGAAAATCTAAATAAACATGTGGACTAGTGGAACTTGGTGAATTCGTACAAAGATGAAAATTTATGAAATAATTTTTTGGGCTGTCATTAGGTAAATTTTAAACTTAAATAGGAGACTAAATGTCTTTTGGGACATACAATTTTGTTTGAATAAACTTGAAGGACTTCTCATTTACAAACAAATCTGAAATGACCGTGGATAAGAACAGTGTTCAAACAAGCCCGACAATATCTAAAACCCATCGGGTGTAGGTAGGTTAATCTTCACCGTTGTCATTTTTGTTCTCACGCTAGTACGCGATGTGAAAACAAAATGATCGAACAATGAGACCTATGCATATATATATACGAAAACGCCGGATGTAAAGGTCGTAAGTAAAATTCGTTTGTACCCATCTCCAACTGATATCTCTTCATTTTCTCTTGTGGAATACCAAGATAAAATTCAAACATGAATGTTTCTTGGGGTGATTACGGTTAGAAATCATTCTTTCAAAAATTATAGCAAGAGAAATGACAACCCAGTGTAAAATGCCCATATAGAAGGGTGAAGCAGTGCAGAGGACTGCGGGCTTGTATTTCTGTGAAATTTGCATGAAATTAGGCCGTAAAATGGATCAATTTTGCGATAGAGCGTAGGCGTCCATTTTCAAAATGGCGATGGGCTTTGGGACTTACGGGTGATCATCTTTGGATGGAATTTTCTCCCAAAAGTCATTGGTACACCCCGCAAAAAATCGAACGGCAAACTTAAAGATGATTAAATAAGCTTTAATTTGATGTGTGTCTCAAGGACCTTGGAGAGTTGCGAGTATTTTAATAATTTTAGGAAGTGCGCGTAATTACCACTGAGGTCTGTGGCGGTCAATTTACTGGTCTGTAACCCTATATATGATAATTGTGGTCATTGGATACGTTTATTTGCTTCAGATGCCATGGATCCTACCCCTCGCCTTCATTCTCATCTGTGTCTTTCTGGTGGTTTTCGGCGCCATCGGCCAGCCCATAGACACGGTGATCGGCTTCGGTATCGCACTCAGTGGTGTGCCCGTCTACTTCATTGGAGTCTACTGGACCAACAAACCCAAATGGCTCCTGAATTTCATAGGTGGGAAATCTAGTTGCTTGTCATATCAAAGGAATGCATAATTATGGCGTTTGATTACCGTAGGTCTGCGCTGCATAAGTTAGCAGAAGATCGTCGATATGAGAAAGGGTCAATCTACATGTAAAATGTTCTCATAAGCTCCCGGGTATCACTGACCATGCACAGCCAATAAGATATAACCTATAAGATTTGATTCACATCATCACACAAACAAGTCCACTTATTATGATGTTGGAATCTCGACTTCATTATTCTATGTGCAGGGTCACTAAGTAACTTATGCTGTGCACGGAAAGTAGAAGGCAATTTGTGTAGTTGATAGTTAAAGTAGCAATCCGTATAAAGAATCTTAAGAATATATAGGTATAAAGAATGGAATAACATAAATAATGACGATGAAGTGGTATAGTTTGTAGGTATACCATGGGATTAATCACTTCGGTTGTTAAGAGTGTTCATCATGTGTGTCGTCCTCACACATTTTGTCCAAAGAAGAGATTAATATTATTGCATGGTGAACCCCCAGATGTATCACTTTATTGTACCATTCCGCATTGTTCAGATGTTTTCTAGCTTTCATGCTTTCATTTTACATAGCCGGTTTTGTCACCAATTGTAACCGATGGACGCGGTTTTTCAAGTATTAATTAGTTTGTTTCTATATATGTTTCACATTTTCTGTCCATATTGGTAGGTGGTAAGAAGTATTCGCTTTTTTTTTTTAACTTAAACTGATGCGCCTCCTTGGGTTTGTTTGTTCCCTAACTTTGCAGATGCTGTCACAGTGATGGTCCAAGGAGTGCTCCTAGTGGCACCGCAGCATTTGACGAAAAACGAATGAAACATCTTCGACCTCACGCGACAATCCCCTTTTGAAGGCTTAAGTTTGGCATTATGTACATTGCCTTTAGTTCTCTTTTGCCTTCTACACATAGGCTTATACATAGCAGACGAAATATACCGAACATCATCATTCAGTGTTAATTCACTATCTAATCATTAAGGGATTCGGAAGCCTTGGCTTTAAACTCCATGGGCTAGGAGTGGCTCTCATGATCACCGATGAACCATGTCATAATATCAGTTGTAGATCACTTTGTTACAGTGTGTTAGGTCCGACATTCATCCATTTTGTGAAAGCTCTTTTTTTGGGGGGGGGGGGTTCAATATATCGATGACGACTTCGAAGTCTGTAACATTTTGACGGATTATGGTTCCTTTGTATCATTTCAAAACTTGGTTTCGCTGTCAGCATTCAAAACTAAGCTACAAATCCGTCGCGGGTTAATGGTTAAAGGCCTGCACGTCCAAGGTGCATAGGTAGGCCTAGGCCTACACCTCACCACATTATGGAGCTAGTCCTCGCCAGCTTGTATCATCAAAATAATGTGTTTGGTCTGTTGATTATATGCAATGTACACGTAGCCTACGTTAGTAAAGAAATGTCCCTACGTTAGGTAAAGAAATGTATGTATTGATTTTTATCTGTTTTTATAAAAGCTATAATTTATTGACACTTATAGAAACATTCACCCAAAACAAAACCGACCAGTGGAGAAACGATTGGTACGAATACCCTTTAAAATTGTTCTGTCTGAGATAGGATCGTTCAGCTGAAAACAATCATTGGAGGTTGTTTTACAATGGTGTGCCTGTATACAAAGTATACTTTTTAATTCGGTGATTAAGGTTAAATTCTAAGAATTACCCATCGACTGGGACATTGACTTCACATACATTAACCTATGGGAGACTTTTGAGACGCTGGTGGCAGCAAACACACCGGTCCGTTTTCCATTGTTTGCATCATAATTGGGCATGCGTGCTTTAGCTTAAACATGACGTAAACAATTAAAAAGGACCGGTGTGCTTGCTGCCACCAACGTCTCAAAAGTCTCCCATTAAACGATAAGCATGTCCCTGATTTGCTGATTTTTGGCGTTGACACGAGAGGGTGCAATTCAAAATATGAATCAGCAACTTTTGAATAGGAAGTGATAGCAATGAAACCAGCATAACAGACCGAAAAAGTGTGCATATATCCTCTGATTTCTCAAAATGTATGAAATAGTATCCCTTGTTGACTCTTCAATAGGTTAGTTGCTATTCACCCCTCTCACGATTTTGAGCAGATATGATGCTTCAGAAGAAAAAACGCACAAAAGTGAGCAGTTTTCATCCTATATATTGTAAATTTGTTAGGACTTATAGCATGAGAGGTATTTTACAAACTTCAAAAGGTTCACGTATAAATAAATGCTACGTGGATCCTGCGCAATTGTATTGACTGTCATTACATCTTGGTAATGCGATAATCGGATGAGAAAGAACCGTGAGGTTTTGTGGACGATCCTGTCAAGGGCTGGCTGTCCAAAGAAGTCACCATCCTCAAACTGACTGATGACAAGATGTCAGCATTAGTACTGACAGATACCAGCGAAACAGAGGTCTTCCAGGCGAAGACGGCGGTCAGACAGGGCCGTGTCATCGCTCTCAGCCTCTTCTCATCTCAGTTATCATCTATCTAGTGAAGAACAAGCTCCCAACTGGAGTAGACATCGAGTACCGAATGGATGAAAAGCTATTGAATCTCGGTCGGTTTATAGTCCAAAGGAAAACAGTGACAACTTCCCTCATCGAGCTCCAATATGCCAATGACAACAATATGCCAGTATGCCGGTGGCTACCTCCGAGGAGATGTGGCAGGCTATCCTTAATGTCTTCGGCGCAGGTAGAGGACCCACATCCTTCATAGTTCTTTAGCCTGCTCTATCCAATGCACCTGTCGCACCTTCCATACGAATCAACGGATATCATCTCAACAACGTGGAGCACTTCCCGTACTTAGGAAACCATCTGTCTGCATGTGTGAAAGCAGACATCGATGCGGAAATCGAACAGCGCCTCCAGTCTGCTGGCAACGCCTTCGACAATCGTGACCTCCGTTCCAAGACCAAGATCCTTGTCTTCCAAACACTCCTGTATGGCTCGGAGATCTTGACCACAAACACGCATTTTAAGGCTTTGGAGGTGTACCACCAACGTTGCCTTCGACGGATCCTCAGCATAAATTGGGAAGACAGGCACACCAACACCAGTGTCCTGGAAGATGCATACAGCATGAGCATGGAAGCCACGGTAATCCTAACCAATGCCGATGGGCTGACCACTTGCTCAGAATCCCGGATAAGCGCCTCCCGAATTGCAAAACATGTGCTCCATTGCCAGCTTCGAGAGGAGTTGCAGTCAAGAAGAGGACGGTGGAAACGCTTCAAGGACACGCTGAAGGCGAACCTCAAGACGTTTTACATCGATGTCAACACTTGGGAAACCCTTGCTCTGCAGCTACCTTCTTGGAGAAAGATTTAAGTTGTACCTTGGGGTAGAACACTTTGAACACTCACAACAGCAAGAGAAAAAAATGAAAAGGGTCCTTAAAAAAGAGCGTGAAAGAATTCAGCTGCAAAGATTACCCGCCCCTTCAGGACTCGCCTGCCATGTTTGCTCTCGAAGATGTGGCTCCAGGATCGAATCATTGGCTACTCAAAAGTCCGAGGGGACCCAAAATTAGGTCTACTTGGTAAACGCTCCTTCCGGCTGACTAATTTGGACTAGTGCAGCAATGTCATTTTTATTGGGGGGTAAAAAGTTCGTGAAACTGGCACTCGCCCATCCGTGCTGAAATGTAGACAGGGGTTTTTTTTCTCCGGACACTTGGCCTCCGTAAAAAAAAATCGGGGGGGGGGGGGGGGGGGGGCTGGTACCATCTCCCAATGGGGGCGCTGTTCAAACCGAACGATCATGCACACTATTGGACAATAGATGGCGCTTTTCAGGGTGACACAATTGCCGAATGTAGCTTGAAATTCCGAAAAGGGCACTCGTAAAAGGCCGCTGGTAAAATAATGGCACTTGTTTTGGGTTGGGTATTTTTTTTGGGGGGGGGGGGCTTTTTGTCTTCGCATATGTCCACTAACCTACCTCAGTTACCCTTTGCAGCCCAAGGTGACGTGTTATCAAAGGGATACTGCGTCATGATAAGCGCCCATTGGGATATCAAACGTGTTGCCCATGAAATGGTATTAGTTGGAAAAAGCTTTCAAAAATAGAATATACACGTTCACGCACCCATACCTTAAAATCGGCCATTTTGGTATTATTCTTGCAAGAATGAAGTTTGGGGGTAAAACATTTGAATGTGTAGCAGTTAAATAAATGACCTCCATCATTACATCTGAGCACGACGCCCTCAAAATTATACTTTTAATAAATTATTAAGGTGACCCAAGATAAATATTTGCCATTAGAAAAGAGTTCCGTTTAATGTACGGTTTTCTGTCAATGAATTATGTGGTAAAGAAATGTAACTACAGGAAAGAAAAACGACATAAACCCTCCACATCACTAAAATCCTAAATCCTTAATAACGATGGTTCTTTTGATTAATCCTTGTCAACTTCCTTTAACTTTAAATCATCAAGAAAAGATTTCATTGGCAATGGCGAATATCTAAGACAACAAAATCAGTCGATCAGTTCACTGCTGAATGAGGACAATTTGTTCTAAATATCAATTTTCGACAATGTTTCTAATTACCAAATTATAGATTTTAAACGCTGAAATGGAATTTTAAAAAAGATACTGAATAATAACATACAAAGAATCAACCGTTTCAAACAATGGCAAGGAATACAATTATATAAAATCACACCACAAGTGAATTTCTATACACGTTTAATCCAATACAGACGCGTAAAGGTTTCCTGGTATAGGTTTCAAACATTCTATTCATTAATTGAAAGTTACGCTTATTCAAAGGAGCCTGAAGACCAGTATTTAAATAAAACAAATGGGGAAATAGCTGTATTTATTAAGTTGCCAAATTTAAGGTAAATTTTTAATGCAAATTTAATGACAACATACGACTTGAACTCTAATTGGGGCACATGACTATCTTTATAGTGTCTATGTCGACACTCGACAATATCCGGATCTAGGTAGCGGCTACCTCGCATACAAAGCAGCGCTTACTGTCGCAATCCTCGTCGTTCCATTTACCTTTGTCGTATTCCATCTCCACACAATCCTCACCCAACAGGTTATTGGGCTCGAGGAACCCCCAGTTGCGATACTCGCCACGCTCTTGTGTGTCGTTCCATTCAAACCAGAACTCCCGTCGCCTGTCGTTGAGGCCAATCCAGTAGGAATCTATGCCCAGTAGTCCGCAGGAGATCAGAGGAGGCTTGGAGTGAACCAGGGTGTTCACAAAGGCGTTCTTCTCAGCTGAATCGATGATTACCAAGTCAGAACCGGAGGTTTTGAAGTCACATTGTCGCCTGCAATCAAATGGGAAAATAGCCTTATGAAGCATGAGAACTGTCGGTTGTTTGTCGGTATACTCTAAACCCTGAGAACAGGGGAAACAACTATACATGGAATCGTGTATTTCATCACCGCTATACTATAAAGAAGAATGGGTGTATGTCTGTGTGTGTCTGGGAGCTGTTGCAAAAAAGATAGAGTATAAACAAAATATCGATGACGAGAAACAATAGAAAAATTCCTCGATTTACACCATAAACAAATCTGGGTGTTTATACTCAACTTTTTTGCAATAGCTCCCACTGGTTTTGTACACGTTTTCTAATCGAGGTCGTTTTCGATCCTGTCCTAATTATTCGATGATGCATCACGTGTGTGTCCTCCATTTACACCATAAATAAAAGACCGATGATGAGGAACAATAGAAAATCCTCGATTTACTCCATAAACCGGGTGGCATGGGTGGCTTGTGCGTAAAGCGCTCGCCTCTCACCAAGGTGACCACGGTTCGAATCCTGGCCGCGGATCACATGTGAGTAGAGTTGTGCGTTGGTTCTCTCCTGTGCCACGAGGGTTTTTCTCCGGGCCCTCTGGTTTTCCTCCCTCCGAAAAATCAAACTCTTTCGATCTCAGGCTGTGCTCCGTGGTCATATATGGGTCGATGTGGCCGGCAGCCATAGGCGCCTTTACGTGCCAGCGGCCCGACCACGTTGTAGCCGCGTCCTTCGCAATTCAGCATACCAGCTGCGAGTAAGGATGATTTAGCCACCCAAATTATAAACAAGCATGGGTTTGCGCTCAAGGAAATCGAAAACGTTGCAATTTCCTCCCTATACGTTGTCCATTCTTTCGATGTCTTTGTAGTCTATGTTAGATGTGTCGTACAATTCACGATAATTCTACACCTTGGTAATTCTTTGTTTGTCCATTGTGTACAACCAGTCTGTTCAGGCACTTGTGACAAACGTATGCCATGTTTTTTGTCGCGCGATTAAATCAAATTTGATAAGTCGCACGACTTTGTCTTGTAAATGTAAACGCGCTCATTTATTTGTTCGTATATATAAAATCGCGCAACATTATCGTGCGACAAAATCGCGCATGTGTAAATAAAATTCAGGGAACACCATCAACATTGGCATCCTGGTGAATCAGGTCTATGTGCAGGCCTGTACCGAGCAAATGCCGACAGCCAGTTCCGTTTGTATCGGCAGAACCGTGTGGGGCCAGTTCTTGCCCAGTTCATTTAAATGTTTGCTGCATGGGATCGGCCGTCAGACACAATAGGTCGCTCTGTCCGGACGTAATCGACCGTCGGACACATTGGGTCGGGTTGGACATAATCGGCCTTCGGACGCAATGGGTCGGACATAATCGGCCATTGGACATAATACGTCGGACATAATCGACCCGTCAGGCATAATGGGTCGGACATAATCGGCCGTCTGACAATAATGGGTCGGACATATTCGGCCGTCGCTCGTCAAACTCCGCCGGCGGACGCAATGGGTCGGACAAAATCGGCCGTCGGACATAATAGGTCGGCCGACATAATGGGTCGGACATAATCGGCCGTCGGACACAATGGATCGGACGTAATAGTCCGTCGGACAAAATGGACCGCGGGACATTATGGGTGGGACATAATCGGCCGTCGCTCATCAAAATAATGGACCAAACGGACACAATGGGCGTGAACATAGGCCTACGTGTTAATTCTCTTAATTCACGAGAACAAAGAATGTCCGCGCGAAGTATGGATAACAACAACGTCACGAGTTGAGGAGCGAGTGGGGCGGCGAAGCAGCCTGCCCCGCCAAGCAGACTGGAAACCTTGTTTCTAAATAAACGAGCCAGTGAAAGACTAGCAAGTTGCACACAAACTGAATTCATGCTGATTGATTAAAGTTCGTCAGTCAGTGATTTCTTGGTTCTGCACGCACGGTGCGCTTTGAAGAAAAAAAATTTAAGTTGGAATATGATTTATGTATTATTTGGTTGGGGTAAGTTATAAGCTTTCTACGAAATATTTCTCACAAAAAAATTGGCCCACAGTAAGTACAAATAGATGAAAAGAAATACTTTCAAATGTTGAATTAAGGGCGTGTTGATATTTATACCTGCATTCATTTTCGCGCGAAGTACAACATAAAAAGGTACGTGTATCTTCGAAGACTGAACAGAGTGCTGAGTGTACTACCAGTGATTTCTTTCAAGGGACGGACAAACCAGTTCTAAAGGAACTTGCTGTAGGCCTATAACGTGATTTACCTGGCTTCCTCCCACGGCTCTTGTCGAGTAAACAGCGACAGACACTGCGTGTTGTTATACATGTGCCAGCCGTTGGGGCACTTAGGCCCTGTACCTCCCCATGCCGACACGGCAGTACCTGCTAGCAACAGCACCGATGTAGTTATCAACAGAACCTTCATTGTGTGACGTGTTACCGACAGTGGCCTTTTGACGAGAGCAAATGAACCCAGCAGGAGCGATCACACACTGTTATATCTCGAGCAACTCTGCTCTAAACCCAACTTCTGTCGTTGTATTTGTGAAATCATGACGTCACAACTTATCTCGGGCTAAATAGCGCTCCAGCTTTTCACACTCAGTATTCAGCAGCCGATGTCATACGTACACGAAACAGTACAGCGCATAACTTACGCTATGCGTACTTGCGTAGGATTTACGAAACAAATTTGTTGCAAAGCTGCGCAATATATATATTGAGCGATACTTACTATTGCTTCACGAAACTTGGCGTAGCTGCGCAACGTTTCAAATACTTTAAATATCTTGGACGACGATTAAAAAAACCTAGCATTTACGACGGCTGTTTGTGTGATTTCGGTTCGATCACGAAGCAGTCGTTGAAAGATAGCAATTTATTTACTTCAAACACAAAGTATAGGACAGGCAAGCTCCACGACGATCACGATAAGCCATAAAATAGGTTTGTTTTCGGTCGGCTACTCCGTGGCGGACCTACGCACTGCACAACGTGAACTGTTGTGCAACTTATATACACAAATGGAGTTTCGTCTTTGCGTAAAGTTTTGTGAAATCGGCAGCAGGTGTGCAACGCGCGCACACCGGCTCCTGCCATGGTTCAAATTTGGTATCAAAAATGATACACGCTGATTTGCCATCAGCATCCTCCCAAGGTCAGCCTTGGCTCACTTCCTCGAAAACGGTTCAGACGCATTCCATAACGACATATTTCGTACGTTTATTAAACACACACGATCACAGACGGCAATTGTGGCCTAACAGTGATGTAGTGCCTTGATGCCAGTGGGCCTTGGCCTTAAGGCACACTTGTGGGGCTAATGAGTTGATCACTTAAATTGCATACAATTATGGAATAGTATCTGATTGGTTGTATGTCTCCCTGATAAGTGCTAAAGATTTGCATGTATCTGTTTTAGATAATGCTGATATTTCTGACCATGTTGGCCCAGCAAATAAAAATTTCCCAAGTCAGTTTCTTGGATCCCCCTTTTGTTACACTCGGGAGAATTGTATGTCAATACAGAAGTAAATGTTTAATTTGTTTTAGTTAAACCATATTGAAGACCTGAACTTATACTTTAATAGATCTAATGCAGTCATAAAACGGTGTATGCGAGCATGTTGATTGCAATTTAAGACATGTTGTTCTTCTTAATGGGCGATTCGTGATGATGAGTCATGTGACTATAATTAGTTCTATATCAGTGGTCATTTTATAAAACAGGGCCTTGGCCTTGGCCTTAGCCTTGAGGGTTAAGCCTTGGCCTTGGCCTCGAGGCTTGAAGGTCTAAGCCTTGGCCTTTGCCTTGGCCTTGAGGGTCAAAGCCTTGGCCTTGGCCTTGGCCTTGAAGGTTTATGCCTTTTCTCCAACACTGTAGCCTAATAGTATTTTTGTAGAACATTATCACAAATTAGTACCCGAGAATGGTTCTCTGCCTTTCAGCCGATTGTCACCATACCAATTACAAGTTACATCCACTGTTGTGCTTATATTGAAACGATTATGTTTTTAACATCCGAGGGGCGCATAGAACCTGCAGCTTCCCTCGGGTGTTAAAACAGCCATATCCCACATCACAGTAGTCAACAGTTTTAATACAAAGTCATGTATATCTCACTTGCAATATAAAAACACCGACAAATGTTAGGCCTATTAACCAAAATTTTTAAAATTTCACATTTATATAAATTATGAAGTAGGCCTACTCATGACTATTTATAAGCGCAAGAACCGCGAATACTTGCAAAAACAAGGAAATTATGAAGAATATGCCCATTTTGATCAGTTTTTACCAAAAAAAAACTAACCTTGAATGCACCATAATGGATGGGGTACTGGGGTCAGCTCATAAGTCCAACGCCTCATAAGTCCGAAATTTCAGACTTATGAGGCGTCGGGCTTATGAGGCATACAATTTATTTATTCCGCCTCAAAGGTCCAACGCCGCATAAGTCCGACGCCTTTGTCCATTGTCGGACTTATGAGGCGTCGGACTTACGAGGCGTCGGATCTATGAGGCGAGATTTTATGCCTCATAAGTCCGACGCCTCACAAGTCCGAAATTTCGGACCTATGAGGCGTCGGACTTATGATACGGTCCCGGGGCACGTACTCTACACCCTTGCAGGAAAATGCTTTTGTTACTGTGCAGGAAAATGTTCAATCGAAATCTGGGGACAAACAGGTACATGGGCATGAAACCAACCTGCTGTCAATCCTCTAGTGTCCCAACTTTGCCAGTGGACATTCCATGCCAGCCCAGTATACTAATCAACCGGTCATCTAGCACGAGAAATCGTATCATGACATCAATGCTGAAATTACCACACAATATGGTGATTCAATAGACGACTTTTTTTCCGAGCCGCGTACATATCGTCATACACGCGCGCACACCACTGATTATAGCGCCCATTGACTGCAAACGCTCGAGCTGCTTTAACTTCCGGTTCCAATCGTGCAGAAAGTGCTGGAGGTGACGTCACACTAACGAACCGGATATGTTGCCGGACGCTGATTTTGGGCGCAATTCAAAACATGACTCGGCAACTTTTGACTGAATCTAGATTTTAGAATATTGTTTTCTCGGAATGTACAGCATTCACTGACCTAAAACTTCATCAGGTTAGTTGTTCAACACCCTTCTTTAGATTTTGAGCACAATTGTTACTTCAAACGAATATATAATGCAGAAATTGCAAATGATGGACTCTACCTTTAAAACCGGCCAAACACAAACCGCAGTAACATTGCAAAAAAGAGAACCTAAGGCCAAAAAAAAAAGACTCCGGTTTCTGGCTAAAACATAAATGACAGAGGTACATCCATTAACATTGTTAATGGATGTACCTCTGTCATTTATGTTTTAGCCTCTGAAGAAGAACTTGCTAAGTTCGCAACGTCAGGCCACATTAATTTTAAGGCTAGTAATTTAGGCAGACATCGTTCCACTGACCAGCTGTTACACGTTTTTCCAACGATGGTTCCGTCTTAAACCATATCGTTGGAAAATGTTGGTAATTCCTTTTTTTTTAAATGATGGTATACAATGCGCAAACAACTTGACAGGAGGTTTGACACTACAGGGTGAGTAAAAAAAACACGAAACCCAAATGTCGGGACCACTGTTTTATTGAACTTCTCCAGGACCTTCTTAAATTGCATCAGCGCAATGATTTTTGCCCAAATAATGTGTTCATTCATGATCATAGGTGCTCCCGTTCAAAAGTTATGTTTTTGCTCTATCGAATGGGGGGCCTTTTTGAACTTCTGGGTCAAAATTATGTCATAGCGTCAAACTGAAGTCGGAATCGGAATCCTCATGGTCGACTTACCTGAAAAAGTGTCTACATACATGATTTTAGGTGTTCTGGTTCAAAAGTTAATTTTTCAAGATGGCGCCGGAGGCCATCTTGGATTTGGCCCCCTAGCGAAAAATGCCGGGATTTTTGGGAGGGACCTGGGGATTGTTTCTTTATAAATGGTCCATAGAAGTCAAATCCATCGTCAAAACATCTTAGCAAGAGAATGGTCACGGAACTTATGTTTTGGACCCAACTATCCTTATGTGATTTGTTTTCGTTTTGCTGAAAGAACACTTACCTTTTTTTGTGATCCGTGGACAGAACTTTAAAACAATGGTTGTGTTTAAAAGTCCCTAACTTGAAAAGTACATGAGTGATTTGAATGATTTTTGTACTAAAAAAACTCATGAATTGAGCTTTTATATCCTAGATTTTAAAAGTGCTACATGCAGAACTTCACTAAAGCAATGGTCCCGACATTTGGGTTTCGTTTGTTTTACTCACCCTGTACAAGCAAATGGTATACAATACCTTGGATAGATACATGTCCAAACTATATCCGAAAAGAGCTGCTGGCGTTGTCAGTATAATGGCACTCTCAGCAAAACCTGCTGCAGTCCCCCCCCCCCCCCCACGCCAATACCGCACACATACCCCCAAAATCCCGAAATACGAGGGCTTCCCCTACCCTTCCACTCAGAATTCGGGGAAGGCAAACTAATGTTTTTATTAAAAAAAACATTGAACGCCACCTCCAGAAACTGTGGCTCCGTGAACACCCCCCCCCCCCCCTTTTACGCCACTTTGACCGATGGTAGGTCTTTTTATTTATCTTACACAATATTTTGTTCTGCAGTGGTAAAGTGATATCTTGATCTAACTGGAGTGATTGATTGATTACGGCTTCCGATAAAAGTGTAATTATCTGACTTTGGCCCTTCTAAGTACTTCTAAATTGAAAGAAACTGCAGATGTTGAGATTAGACAGCTTAAAAAAAAAAAAGAGCTGCGAAATTTTTGAGTAGCAACATCTGTTGAAGTTTTCTCAATAACCAATTTTCAATTCAGCTTTATTCCTGTCAAACAACCTCCATTCCAAACTTCTTTGGGAATTTAATTCAGAAGTTGAAAATTATTATGATCGAAGTTTGAATTGATTTTGAAATTGTTTCGCTCTCTCTCTCTCGTTTCATCGTGTTTCCTTTTGTCTTAAGTAAATGTGCTGCTGCTAATTAGTTTGGAATTGTTCATTAGGCCTATGCTTCATTCGTTTAAGGCGAGAGATGAGGACAAACCGAAATACCTCAACTATTCTGCACAAATTTAGAATGATCGTGAAAAAACAACACGACTATAAGGTACATGTATACATTACTTGTCTTTGTTGACTTGTCTTTGTTGGCATTTCGTCTGGCGATATATTTGTGCCACAGCAGGCGCGGATCTTTGCCCCCCCCCCCCAGCTCTGTCCAAAAAAAAAAATTATCATACAAATTCCTAAAAAAAAAATCGACCCCCCCCCCCTTGACACCCCCAAAAAAATTATACTGGTATAATGTCCGCCTGCACAAAATACGGTATACCATTCTGTAATCTAGTGTTAATAATCGTCAAATTTGAACAGCGCCCCCTATTGAAATATGGTACCAGGCCCCCCCCCCCCCCACCCCCACCCCCAGTTTTTGATTTACGGAGGCCAAGTGTCCGGAGAAAAAACCTATAATAATAATAATAATAACCTATTGATAATAAGCTCGACTAATACAAGTCTTTCTTGTTAGTATAACTCGTTTTAATACTACGACAAAGAGAAACAAAGACCAAAAAAAGACACTAGATTCTAGATTTTCTAATTACTTCTTGGCGATTTTTTATTATTCAGTTTTACCAACGTGAAATTGGTGTGTACATCAATCATTACAAAGACACAACTGGTTTGCTTGGTTGGTTCGCACTGGCACAAGCATTCACATAATACGGGTAATAGCACTGGTTCACGAAACACTGAATATGAACTCGAGACATGGTACTAAGTACACATCATGCACTGACGAAACACGAGGCTGCCATCTTGTGGAAAATGTATATATAGATCATAAAAATACGCACCACGATTTTAAGTATACAAAACATTGCATGCAGTATTTGCAGAGAATATTAAGAACAAGTCATTGTGGGCTACTATTTTCCTCAATAGAATTCATTTGATGTAAGCAACAGATTGAACACTAAACATCTTGATATTATCCTCTTGTTACGACACACCTTCAAGATTTGTTGCGATATAATGATCCTGTGATCCGCACAGTTCAATCCATAACTTTGCTCAAGTCTTGGCTGTTGCTGAGGGGAATAAGCATCCTTCTACCAAGTAGAAGGGAGTATTGATCTGGTTTGAAACAAACTCTACTTGGTAACAAATCTTCAAGATGAACCAAATTACCAACACTCCATGAACGTGGGTCTTTTGCATTCCAAAGGAGAGGTGGTTGTTACAAATACTACTTGCAGTGCCCGCATCATATTAAACAAAACATTACATTGTAATTCATTTCCAATCTTGCTCTAAAACACTGATATATTACAAACACTTATGAATGCATTTTATTTATCCTTGACGCACAAGATACCACAAGTATCTGATAACCAGACCTGTCAGACTTTCCAAACACACAAATCGTCCCTCGCATTTCACTTAAGGCCACCTTACGCTGTTTAACAGAGAGGCGATCATACCACAAAATGTGTCATTGTACATGCATAAAATATTGACCAATCATGGGCTAAGTTTATCATTAGCTTGTTCTTACATTTATCACAAGCCGTTGGAAGTACAAACTCGCAAATAAGTTTAATATGAACCCAGGAAGAAAACGATGGAGAAGAAGTATTTCATTTCACATTGAGCAGATGTGATCTGGGCTGGGGCCAGCTGATGAGCTGTGCAGTGTACAGCCGCCAGCACCGCTATTAAGTGCAATGCTTATGTGGTACTACAAAGCGCACTAGTGAGCAGAGCATACTTTGCACGAAGTACATGTTTGATGAGTGCAGAATGTAAATTACAAACACTTATATCGCCAGACAGTTCAAGAAACTGAAGTGAAGTTGGCATATCTACAGTCACATCTCACACGATGATTTTCAAGAATTTTTTTTTGTGACATCACTTCAAAGCTGCTACATAGACTTAACACATAATTTGGAAGATCGGTAAAATCTCAACAATAAGTAGTATGGCCACACAGAAATTGTAAAATCAGAAGACCTCATTAATATGTATCAATCAACACATACATCAGCTAGCCTAGCATCCAAACTTCCTTTGCTTGAAAAATGCTCATAGTTTGAGCAAAGATGTGTTACATGCAAAAAAAACCTGCAATTTGTTATCTATATTGGACAAGTCTTTTATTTAACACTACAATTGTTGCAGTGTAAATATAACACTCTGCACCTATAATAATAAAGTCTCTGAATTTCAGCAAAATAACATCTTTTAAAAAAACCATTATGTACATAAAACACTTGTTTTATAGCTCCAAAAATAAAATGAAAGAAAAAAATCACACATGTACACACGTGACAACAGTGCTCTCAACTATAACTACGCATCTCGTGAATTATGTGCTGCTAAGATACTAATATCTAATGTTTGCGCTACCGTGTAGTAAAAATAGGATTGAGTAAAAAAAAAAAAAATTGTTTCGATTTTTTTTTTATTATTCTAACTTTTTTATAACTGCTGTCAGAAAGTTTGGTTGTATAACTTAAAGTCATGGCAAAAAAAATCGCCATCAAGTAATTAACAAATGAGAGGCCTAAATCTTGTTTGCAATTCACATCGTTTTTATCCAAAATGTTGTCATTGTCATAATGCATCTATAAAAGGAAACGATGTCATTAAAAGACCATCACAAAAACATTCCCTAAGACAGTTTTATTATGTAAAATAAATGACAGTCCTCAGAAACATTGAGAACATCACTTTTCATAAGATGGAATTTGGGTCGGGGTGATGTACATCAAATTAGGTTTTGCCCTAGTGATTTTTTGCCTGAGTGATTTTTTCCAACTTTCACTCGGGAGGTTAAACACACTGACTATAGTGTTTTTACGTCGGTGAAGGGCAAAACCTAATTTGATTAACATCATTTTTCTTTTACAGAATAATTACACAACTGCATATAACACATGGCAAGAAAATGGATTATCAAATAAACCATAGAGGAAAATCTCTGGCTACTTCATAGTTCCAAATTCCATTGCAAGACATGAATATCTGGCTTGGGATTAATATAATAAGGTATATTCAGTAGGATTTCCATGCATGAGTACAACCTCTGATGAGTGAATAATTACTACTTGATGACTGATAGCCTTTGCACTGTACACTGTACCTTATGTGCAAAACCAATTGAAAAATTGGTCTAGCACACTGTGCTTTACTCTGATGGTTTCATTGTAATTTGGACAGGTTCTGTCAATCAGATTGTAAGAGAAGTGGTTTTGTGTCAAGAATGAGAAATATATTATGAAGTCTGCTACATGAACACAGATAAGACTCTACAGATATTGATCACTTCAGTCCATTGCCCAGGACGTTCCATACGCTTACATGTACGTCTTACACCATTATACAATGCTCACATGATCCACAGCATAGAGACATGTTTGGCTTTTGTGACACAACACAATGGGGACAAAGAGATTGTATAGTTCCTAATCCAAGTTATGTAGTCATGAATGTATACCACATGTAAATAAATGTACATGTATGGTACTACAAGCGGTGGGCAGCCGTGTTACATGTATGGTACTCAAGGAATTATTCAAGTCAATGTTTGTAAGAGCTGGACCGCTTCCAGGGACTGCAATCTGCATGGACTACATTACAGTTTCCCAACAAAAACACAATCTGATTAACATTGATCCCATTTTAGCTTTAGAAGAAAAACAGTTCCCTTACTAACTGCAATGTAAAGATGATTATGATCCATACAATGTTACGTTGTTGCTCCTTTCCATCATGATTACCATGGTTACACATGTAGACCTCTCAGACGCAAGTGTGGCATTCTTGAAGGTTGACTACAGCTGTGCTACCATGCCAACAGAAACAGACAATCTCTACGGTGGCTTGTGCCTTAAAACTGGATGCTGGACTTACCCCCTGGTGGGGCCAGAGCCTTGTGTGCAGCTCGATGGGGAACATTGTCATCAATCTGCCGTCCTAAGGAATATCAATGAGAATTGTAACAATAAGCTACGTTCATATCACAATGCATTACAATATCGCTGATTCTGCTGCTAAACAGGTACAAGCAATCCTGCAAACAGCACATACTTTCTGTTATACATGTACATGTATGTGTGTAAAGATGAGTCGATACAGCCAGCTAGGCAATGTCCCACAGATCATGTACTGACTTGCAAATGCAAAGAGTTGTACACCAATTCCTTCAAGACATTTCTCAAGATATATACCTGGTTCCACTTCACCTTCCCAAACTCAAATATTCAATTTTTTCTTTTTCCTTTCCCTTGACCAAAGACATTGACAAAATTGGGAACCGCCAACATAGGGCTGAATAGCTCAGTTGATAGAGCACCAGAATGGTAATCCTGTTCAGGAGATTGCTGGTTCAAACCCCACTCCAGTCAATTTCTTTGTTCAACCTTAAAATACTTCAATGTTCACTTCAACATTTGTTATAATATTTGTCCCATGGTTACTGCATGGCCATTACAATGGGGGTGAACAGCAACAAATCCCAAGGAATACCCAGAGTCATGTAACCCTCACACACAAGTGCACACACTTTGATTTCAAGAACACATGCAATATGCGCACAAGCGTGATTCCTCTTCAATATGCGCACAAGCGTGATTCCTCTTCAATATGCGCACAAGCGTGATTCCTCTTCAGAATAAATGCCTTCTGCTATTATTTGTCGGATCAGTCCATAAACAGGGTAAGAACCTACCTAGGGATGAGATTGTCAATTTTAAAAAAAGTCTGTAAATTAGACAAAAGATCTGAAAAATACATTTCTTTATTGGGGAAACTGAAAATTCAAAAAAATATTCGACAGAGGGTTTGAAGGTCGCCGAGGGTCAAAGAGCAACGTAGGGTCTATGGTACATGTTTAAATTTAAAATACCACTTCTTTTGTCCTACATCATTTTGTATTGGTAAAAACCTCAGGAATTACAAATTTCAAAAGAGATTCTTTAAAAATCCTGAAATCAGGACAAATCCTGACAAAAAATCCTGAAATCAGGACATATTCTGACAAAAATTCTTGAAATCAAGAAAAATCCTGACAAATCTCACCCCTGTGTATTTCTCTGAGATTCAAAAAGTCTGATTCTAGACATGCGTGTGCTTACCCGAGAGACTGAATCCAGAGCGATGCAGGTCCCTACCGCCTTGCTTAGTGGATGCAGCACTGTGGCTGTTAAACTCCTCAGCAGGAGCTACAGGCACACTCCTCGGCATATTGGACTGCTTCTTAGGACCATCCGGTGTCCAGATTGGACCATCATACGGCTCACGCTCAACTTTGATTGGCTGATTGACCTGTACAGACAAGAAAATAATGGGACTGGTGGGGATGTCTACTTGATCTACTCTTCTTTCAAGTCCTCCAAGTATCTTTGAAATGCTCATTCAAACCTTTGCACAATGAACAACATTTTCATGTGCCATCACTAGGGCTTACTGAGTACTGTTCCACAAAGAGTGGACACCTACAGAGGTGCGACATGGGCATTTACACGGACCTACTCTGAATTCATTCACATTGACAAAGCTCCATCCACAATGTAAGTTAGGGAAATCTTATGGAAACGATAACACTCTGTCCTTACCTTATCCCGGATCAAGATCTTATTGTAGGCTTCAGGGGCGTGCAGTGGGCGTGGAATAAAACGACCTGCTCCTTGAGTCACATGTAACTGTGAAAGGATGATATTCAAATAGCATTATGTTAATAAGACACTGTTCCTATAAACACTATGTACCGTAATTTTTAGTTGTCTTTTTTTTTTTTTAACAGCAAAAATATATTTGTAATTATTGTTCCCACGAAAGTACACCCCTTTGTTACCACAAATGGTGTGGTCCATGGGGAAATGCATGCAGCCGGCATTGAGCAGTATCACGTACAGCCAGGTTGCAGTTGGTTGTCGAAGACAGCTTTCACCATGTTTTCACCATGCTTTCACTCACGCATGGTCAGCCGGCCTGCCGTACTTTTTCCCGCTCGGTATATTTTCGTGGGACGTGCTTTCGGTTTGTTAATGACTTTCTTTATTGATAATTCATTTCAGCAACAGTCTTTTCTTATACCAGTACATTAAATACATTTGAATCTCATTTTTATTCTTTAAGGCTTGGCGTATAAGCCGCCCTGTGTATAAGCCGCAGTAAACATTTTCATGGGCAAATTCAACGTATAAGCCGCGGCTTATATTCCGAAAATTACGGTAACATACTAGGTGATAGTGTAATGTATTGACATAAGTGTCTTGTTACCAGAAATTCAGAGTGTCGCATCATGAATGCATACTTTAAATCAAGATTCTTTAGGCTAGTCAACTACTACATGTACATGTACTAATGAGTATGATCTATACCAAGCCCATGTATTCAAGAACATTATGAAAACAACTAGAGATATGAATACAGCATCACTTTTGTGAAAGTTCTATTTCTTGTCCAGTAAGCTTCAATTTGCTCAGTTCTGAATTCAGCAGCATGCTTCCATAATCACCAAAGGCTGCATAGTTTCGGACCCTTCAAAGATTTCAAGTCTCTCTTTCAGAAACAGTTTTTTGTAAAAGTGAGGGAAATACAAACTATACAAGACTTGCAGAATGATTGAGGCTTCTCAGTTTCTATAGCCAGGGAATACAAGCATGCCTGATACGCAGTGCTTAGGGGCAAATGGGATGTTACCTCTCCATCTTCCCAGACTATCCGCCCTTGACTGATGGTGATGACAGGAACACCATGGCACTCCATGCCCTCAAAGATGTTGAAATCCACAGCCTATTTGTAAGCAAACAAACAAACAAACAATCAAATCACAGCTCATCAGTACCACTGCACACGGTACCTGTATAAACCTCTGTACTGATGACGTCACGCTTTGTTTACCCGTGTGCTTTCCTATGGTGTCAGGACCGTGGGCCCCCACTGGCTCCATAGGAAAGTGCACATGTAAACAAAGTGTGACGTCATTAGTACAGAGGCTTATTGAGAAATGTTTCAAAAAGGAAGCATGAAAGTGAACAAAGTTGACCTCTGCAATAATCCCAGCTTTAAACTTGTCTCATACATTTGTATTACAATGTATCATATGTACTCCTAGATAAAGTTACAAAACCATGAACACCTGGGGTGGTTGGGGGGTATAAGGTGCAACAGGCGGGGCCCTTTGGGTTTATACCAGAGTGTGAAATGCCAGGGCAGTGATGTTTAGATGATAGTCAGTTTCAGTGAAAGGCAAGATGTCAAGTAACAGGTCAGTAATGTTCTCACCTGGTGGTGTGTATCTTTGGAGATGACGCGTGTAGCCTCAGGATCCCAGATGACTATGTCAGCATCGGAACCCACTTGGATGACACCCTAGATACAATACAAGACCTCACTTTAAATGTCTCATTCACTCATTCGTTTACTTGATTTCTTTCTGGTAATCAAGCCACCATTGTCCTTGGCATCCAGGAGATGGCTCCGCCCACTCATGTATCCCAGTGCGTAGAGATTTCATCCCAAGATGCTTTTATTTAACCTTCCCAATACTTTGTCCTTGTTGTGTAAAAGCTGTATAACGTTGTTTGTTCACTACTATGTCACAAAAATTCAACAGCATATTACCAGGGATGACATTGTCAATTTTGAAAAAAAAAGTCTGAAAATTGGATGAAAGGTCTGAAAGATGCATTTCTTTCTATACTGATGTCTTCCTCTCAGACTCAAAAAGTCTGATTTCAGACAAATGTCTGAAAAATCTCATGCCTGTTACGGGGAATGGGCCTTATGTACATCTGCACATACATATTTGAGTAGCATCATCTAGGGCCATTGGTGTCTGCCCCACCCAGTGTTACAGAAGCAGACAGACATTGACAGCCAGTAAAAAGCAAGTGTGTGTCAGAAATGTCATCATATTGCACAACGTCAATTACAAAGTGTCCATGAAGGTTTCCTAACTTGGTATCATGACATCGTTTAAAATGTACTGATCACACTGGGTGAATGTATGTCTTATGAGAAGTTGCCTTCCTATAATAATGTTTGACAACTTTGGCTGTACTGCAGGTTGAGTCAAATGTCCTTAATCTGGTAAGATACCTTGCGTGGATACATGTTGAAGATCTTGGCTGCATTGGTGCTGGTCACTGCTACAAATCTGTTGGCATCCATCTTGCCAGATATCTAGCAAATAAAAAGAATATTGTGAAAAGTGAAAAGTACAATTAATCAAAAGGAAAGCAGGCAGGAACCAGTGAAGTGAGTTATTGTGCCTCGATGCTCCACCAACACAATAATGACACCTTGATATGTAGGTATCATTGCAAAGAAAGACGTATTTTGGACAGTGATTGATTTGTTCACATTTGTCCTACTGATAGGCATTATTTGTGCATGAGGTCTTGAGAGGCGTGTCGGTGAGTAACTTACCACACCCTTCTCCCATATAACAGACATCCTATCTTCCACACCATTGACTCCATTAGGTATTTTGCTGAAGTCGTCTTTGCCTAGAGCCTTTTGGTCAGCGTTGAATGTGCAGTTGTCTGTCCCAGTCAGCTGAAGGTCACCACTGTGGAATCAAACAATTAACACAACGCTTCATGTATGGACTAGCTGCACATTAGATCAGGTCTCCCATGGAGGGACATATTGCATCCCCACCATGGCATTAGTTCTTGTGCCTATATGTATGACACCCAGTACACACTGTTACTTTCATTCCGACTATCTACAAGCCCCTATCATCTTGACGTGAGCAATGGGAATATGATGGGCAGAGTTCCTCTTAACTCTCTCTAACCGACAGAGGGGGTACTTGTGCACTCTGTCTAGGGCAGGCCCAATATGTCTGCAACAGATCCAGCATTGAAGTCTGTCACTTTTCAAGGACAAATAACTTAAAAAGATTAACCAGCAAACCACGTAATAGAAACCCCTACATAATTGCAACATATCAAAAGAAACCTCACTAGTACATATATATTGAGAAATAAATACAATGTATGTATTTTCTGTGTCCTCAAAAACGAAAGACCCTTGGACAGACTGGCTGCCGTGAAGATTTGACAAGACATAACAGACTTTCAAAAACCAAAAATACAGCTATGGCGTTAAGTGGCTCATAATGTACTTGTCAATAGCAAGACCGACCCCATGACACACAGCAAAGGTGCATGATTGTCCAATTGTCATTCAACCTTAGCTGACATCTACATGTGTGTACCTTGTGCGTCAGAATAGTAATACATTGTTGGCCAAATATATACTTCACTCTTTGACAGTCTATAATGCATATACATGTACTGTAGACAGGTGATGCACTAAAGGTAAATTATGTAAACTGTTTGACACACAAAATCATGACCATCCCCCCCCCCCTCGTATCACAGTGGAGCTACACAAGATATAATGCACCCTCCATTCCCAGGGGGAGGGGAGGGGATGTCATGGGGTCCGTCCTACAATTGACAGGTGTATAAGTAATACTGACTTGGCCAGTAGATCCATCAAGTAGCCTGGGGTAGTAGGATCAGGTCGTAGTGGAGGTCCCATGACATGACCAGCTGCATGACGCCAATTCTTGCAGAAGTAGTGAGTACCATCTGTACCCAGGGAGGCTGCAATGGGCTCACCAAAGACTACCTTACCTGAATCAAACAAATACATGCACATGACTTCAATTAGTCTAAGTCTCCATACACAAACGGGTCCACAAAATATTGTTTCTCATAGTGGTCAGTCGTTATAGCCACTAATGCTCAGCATAATTCTACATAAGATTTGAGAGCCAAAATGAATAATTGATCTTAATGTGCAGTACAGCCATGTTCTTTGTCGCAGCGTTGTACTGTACATGTATACAAATGTATGTACATGTATATAATATGGAAAGCTCATGCCTTATAAATGCTAATTGAAGAGTGGACCAAATTAATAGAAACTCTTATACGATATATGAGCACTGCAGAGGTATGTCAAGATGCACACAAATACATGTCATTGAAACTAAAGCAAAAATGAAATGAAATAATATGAACACCACCAAGGAAGTGCTAACTTGTTTGTAGTGTTGGGTATGTATGTCCTTTCTATTTTCATAATTTCATAATGAAATGCTCTACTGTCACGAGTATTCAAAAGGTTTCATCAAGCAATTTTAAATGTTCCTTTGTCTGAAAAATGGCTCTTCTCACCCCTAAATCTTCCAAAGCCCAAAACTTTGTGTTGTTTAATTTTGAGAACTTATAGATAGTATAACCATCCCCAATGACAACTGTTTCAGACTGGCGTGCAAGGGTTTGATGTTTGGAACAGTTAAGACAGACAACAAGTGTAAGGTGTTACAAGATAGACTGCTGTGTCTTGACCAGAGCATCTTAATATATTCAGATATCAGTCTAGTCAATGGGAAATGAATGCATTCAGTTTGTTTTGGTTCAGTGGGACTCTGGAATGCAAGTCTGAAATGGCTGTTACTTCATACTTGTGCATGTAGGCTTGGATGTCCCAGTCTTCTTGAAGCACAAAGACTATAATGTGTCATTGTTTACATCACAGAGTTGATTTCAGGAAGTATTTGGGCAACAATGTCTATTGTGGGGCTTTAATGCTGTTTTTAATTATAAACAAGTATGATTGAAAGGTTGAACAAAGAAATTGACTGGAGTGGGGCTTGAAAAAAATAAACAAGTATGAAAAACAAACTGAAATACATACAGTATCTAACAAAATTTGGGAACCACATTCACAACTTCTGAATCAAAATTAAAGCAAATTTCTTCATGCAACTGTTTAACCACACATCACAGATACATCACCAATGCCACCTTTTGTGTATGTTTACCATTGGCCCTAGCCTTAGCGATGACCTCAGCTGACCCCTTGCTCATAACCTTGGTGATATACACAGGGCATTGTGTCTGTGTAGCTATGCAAATGGCACGGCTGACTGCATCAGACTCCACCTGGTTGCCATGGTAATCCAATGATTGACAGATTGGGAAAATGAACATGGCAGGTGAGTTTCAATATTGAGAGGAAAAAATGTATAAAATGAGTTGCAATCTTGCAGTAAGCGATGACTAGTGGGCCTGAGGAAGATTCTGGACAGTTTCATAGTCTAATGCATGGTACCGGTACATGTGGTTCAGACTTTTCCTTTTATCACCAGGAAAGATTCAAAACACAAAGGATTATTTGCACTTCATTATTTGTAACTTCATTAGTTTTGTAAAGTCGTATTGAGTGATGTGGATTTGTTCAGACAATCATAAATGTTACAATGATAATGCACTACAATGCACATGTACCACTATGACGGTACAGAAATACACTAATGCTGTCATCTAGAGCAGACCTTTGAGCCATCGCCTATACATGATGCAACTCTGACTGGCTAGCATACTACTCAATGGCTACCTTCACTCCTGGCCTTTCGTATAGCATCAGCAGCACTACGGCTCATGACATGTACTATGTACAGGGGGCAGTTAACCTGATTGGCTATGCATATAGACCTAGTCGTAGCCTCAGCCTCAACCTGGGAGAAACAGTTCTCAGTTTAGAATCATAATTTAAAAGATTGAAATGTTAAATAATCACAAGGTGAATTCAAAGGAATATGGCATCTGGGCTGTCCAGTTTACCTTGCCAATTTGTGAGATATGGCAGTCACAGCAAGAGGGCACTATTTGGATTGGGTAAGCTTTTTCAATTCACATTGTACCCAAACCAAATACATGTTGCTTCCTCCTACTGTTGCCACCATACATGTATCTCTAACAAGCTTCCAACATGTTGACTGCCCTTGGCTACCGCTATGTCTTTACTGGCAGTTACATCAACTACAATACAGCATCCTCACACATGTACATGTACGTACCGGTACATGTATCTATAGGTCTTGAAACTATTGATATTGCCAGCAAGTTTTACTGTAAAAGAATATTGGACTTGCAGTCAGTGACTTAATACGTTTGCAACTCAGTTAAAAATGAAACCTTCAAACGACACTTCTTGAAGATGAGGCTGTGTTACAGAAGGTTCCAATGCTTAAAGTGCTCTCCATGTGTTCAAGGCTAGAGCACATTGTTGTAATGTACATTGTAAGCATGCATGCACACAGACCAGTGTGTCCTATTCAGAACAGCTGGTTTCCCAGCCTGCTCTGTTTATCACCAATCAGGATGAGTTGCATTGTTCCAATCTGAAACAAGTGCCTGTTAAAACGTTCCAATGGTTCTGAATTTACAACCACTCCCGCAAATTCTTTATGCACATGTACAATTCAAAAGTCATTTTAAAGACAAGTTTTCTATTTCATTTTCCCATGTTTCCCCCACTCATGCTGTACACAGAGAAGATATGAGTCATAGCTCAGCAATGTAGCAGTCATTATATCTGATTGTCACCACTTCTCATCAATGTCATACATACATGAAACAGTACTTGCCTGAGACGAGACATTAAAGGCTGTCCCAAAAATGAACAACTCCAAAAAGGGTCAAGATATGCAACTGTTTATCCCTGCTGTGATGATGTTACCTTGGTAACTAATACACTTAAATGTTGTGATTTATCCTCATGTTCAAGACTTCTTCTCATTTCATATTTTTCTTGAAAGTTGGGGGAGGAGGTAGCATACACAAACGCCTTGGGTTTTTCTTCCAACACATTTCCTGGAGTTTTCCCCACACTTATCTACACATACACACATATTTGATGACACATTATATAATGGCTACTTGGTTCAGACATGCAAATACTATGGTACTGCATTATCACAGGGACTTTCTGTTTGTTTGTTTGTTTTTTAACTAAACAGCAGTCTTGACAGCTGACCACTGCTTTTTGACAGTGGTTTGGAACTGATTAGGTAACACAGAGGATCGAAGGCTTCTAGTTCAGTTCTAAATCAAGTCCATGGTTCCTTCCATCACAACAAAAGGCCAAAACAAAATATGCATATGACCGTTGAATTTGAATGGGTTATGTTAAAAGTCAATTTGGTTTTAGAAGAGTCTTGAACTTACATCTTCCGGTCTGCTCTGCAGGTGGCCTTCTGGGCCAGTGATGCCAAGCGAGGCCATCTTTTTGGTGTTCTATGGAAATAAAACACACACACAATATTTTTGAAAATTAATAAAACTGCTGCAAACTCGTATAAATGTATAAATACAAACATTAGAGTGGCCTGATATTTCAGCCTTAGCAAGAGCCTCTGAAGAAGGCCATGCTGAGGTCGAAATATCAGGCCACTTTAATTGTTTGATTTACAAAATATTGTTATGAATAATCCATTTTCTTTTCTGAAGATATATGCTGTAGTATCTATCACATCCTGATAATGTTGAACAGCTATTGAGTAAAGCACTGACCCACAAAGACAGGTCAACAGAATCCCATCTCCCATCTTTTCAACTATTTTCATATTCTGTTGTCTGAAGGATTTGAGATACTAATTGCATTTGTTCTCTGGTGTTTTTCCTTCTGAACAAAGGTGTTCTTTCCTTCTGAACAAAAGCTCTTTCAAGAATTGAAGACACAACACAATTATCAGTTACGTAAACAGCTGAATTCATAAATGAGACAATAAAGTCAACAAAGTACACTCTAACTAACAAAGTGGTTGTACCAGTTATGTAAGAACTGATTGACCCTTCAATCTGGACAGTCCTACCTCTTCAATGATGTCTCCATTCTCAGCATGCATCATAGCGAGGGCGCCATTTTCCTTGATTACACTGTAGGATTTGTACAACTGTTGGACAAAAAAAGCATCCAAGCATTAGTTCCAAGCCTACAGGGTGCCACAGTGCTCAATACAACAAAGCAATGAGCACGCTCAATCAAGCACCATTGGTTGACTGGTGGTTACTTTGTGATGTAGCTTCAGACTCACGTTCCAGAGTCGTATTAAACCAAAAAAGTATGTGGAGTAACTGAAGTTGACCCAAACAAATATTGGCTTCAAATATTGCCAATGACCACAGTCACATCAAGACACTGTATAGTCCTACAGGTACCTTGTTGATCAGTTGATCTTTCCACGTAGTCACTAGTTACTGTTTCAAACATTGACCTCTTCATGGACTCCATTCAAGTCTTGGTAATTGCTTGGTTTGGAATGCCTCTGCAATGCCTGTCTGACATGGGTATGCCTGTATTACCCACTGCACCCCAATACAACCAAAGCTCAGCCCTCATACCTTCTAATCACGCTCAGCCAGAAGGTTGAACTGCCATTCATTTTTAGATTTTGGAAGCAATGTTGTGAAAAGTTCATTTTTGAGGGACTGCAACAAACATCGGAACATTCCACATTTTTTTACAAATTATCATCAATTGTATATTATTTTTGTTGTTCGAAAAAACTATGTGACTAGATTCGGCATATCTTTCCACAGACGGCAAATAACAAATTGTTGTCCTTCAAGTACATTTAATCACCTTCTGTATAAAATAAAATGTGATGTTCTCATAATGAATTATTGTAAAAGGGCACTCACTTCATCATCCGTAAGCATGAAGAGTCCCTTGTACGCCATAAACATCTTGAAGGAGTTCACACCTGTCAACATGAATGAACGAGTTACCATTGGTTGACTGAGTGGGATGTGGTAGGAGTCAAGACACTTTCTTACAGGGGAGGTAGGGCTAAAACATGATGCTGCAAATTAGTCATACATGTACATGTACGTACATCAGTGTTAATGAGTGATATCATACATGTCATAGTTGATTCATAATTATTGCAAATACCAAGCAAAATGGACCTCACAAAATGTTTACATGGGAATGTGCCAGGATTAAAATGGGTTCAACTTTTACAAATTGCATTGCGAAAACTTGCCACGGATATTAACTGGCCATAATATAATACCCAAATCAACACCAACATCAACACCCAAATCCTGTGCATAGAAGATGAATCAATGGACCGATCCAGTAGGCTCCACCCAGTGCGCACGTGGGCAAATTAACAAGTGCTCCTCTCCAATGCCACGCTGCATTTTCCTTCCGCGCGCATCATACACGCGTACACGCATGTCGGACTTTAGTGCACGCACGTCGGACATAAATCACGGCTGTGATGGGTCAGATTACATGGGGCGGTGCTTACTGGATCGGTCCATTACACATAATACAAGGTTGGATAACCATTCATTTGGATTGTTGCCATCCACATACCTTTCTCCTGGCATAAGGTAGTGATATCGTCAGGGACACCATCCCCCCACCAAGTCACGCCCACATGGAGGGAGTAGTCACAGCAGACTTTGGGGTCTGCCCAGCCACGCCATTTCTCATAGGCGTCCATGAGTCCTTCACCCTTCTGTGGAAGGCAGTGATCAACTGGAGAAAGGAGAATAAATAGGACAGGCATTCAAGCCTTGCTCTACCGAACCCTACAAGACCAATACATCTGTACATGGAACTGTTTAAATTGGCAAAGCAACCTGGTCTGTTTGAGAGAATGTCAAACATGGGTGTCACGACTGTGGCTATGCCTATTGTCTGTTTGTGCTCATGCACTGACATGTACACAATAGCCCTAGACAAGAGATTCTGATGTGGCCTTTTACTAACTTCGGATTACCAGGCATGCCAGGTGATCCTATTTGTGAATTTATCTATCTGTGTGCTAAGCACCGTCGACATCGGAATATTCAATAATCGTTACATCTGAAATGCAATATCAAAAATATTTGATATATTGATTACCTCATGTAAAATTTAAAAGTCCGAAAAGATAACACTTTGATTTATCAAAAAAAATTAAAATTTGTAAGTCCCAATTTTCCCCGGCTTTTCCTGGGGCTTTTTATTGCTCAAACTTTGCTCAAATATTTTCAATATGATTCCTCAATATCTAAAATTTCGATATTTTAATATGATTAAGAAATTGCTATCGGCGATATCTATATCGAAATAATATCAAATAATCGAGTAATATTGATATATCAACAGTGTTTCCTGTTTGCATGGAAACTAAAGAGGAGCCGGTAACGACATGGACAATTTGACAGTCAACAGTTTTTGGTAAGCCAATATTTTATATGCCCATATGTGGTAAGCCAAGCAGCCCCATGAATTTGGAGTCGGAGTTGTGTGCCCACATAACCCCCCTTGACCCCCTCCCCTCCCTGTAACCTTACTGATCATGGTAGTTCCACCAGCCAATGCAGCCCTTGTGCCTTTGTAGAAGTCATCCACAGCCACTGTTCCCATGAATGGCATCTGCATGTGAGTGTGTGTATCAATGCCACCAGGAATGACCAACATGCCCTTAGCATCCAGCACCTTAGCACCACCGGGGGTGATGAGGTCCTTGCCAACTTGTCTGTAAATACACACATGGGAGACAGGCACAGAGGTCAGATAGTCACAAACACCAATCATAGGGAGGACAGTACTTTGAAGTTGCTTCCCAATTCCCCTAACCTCTTATGGAATATTCCTACTTCCATAGTTCACGGGCATGCAACTGGGAAGTCACCAAAAAGAGGAAATTCAAATCTTTGAATTCTAATGCTAGACATACATGTTTGTTGATTTCAACACAAGTAGGTGGGATGATAGTGTGAAAAAGGCCTTCAAGCTAGTTTGTGACAACTTGAAAGAACTCCAAAGAAAAGTCTGGTACTTTTTTTATTGGTCGCAATCTTATTGCACCAATGCAAGTTGTCTTTTCATCAAACTATATCAGAAATGTGCAGTCGCAATCATGGATAAAACATGAGGGATAAAACATGAGGGATAAAACATGAGGGATAAAACATGAGGGTTAAAACTATGGATATCAGTACAGAAGAACTTTACTATGACATAAATGTACCACACACAAATGACAATGGGGTCCTCAAGTATCTATGGTTAGTACAGTGGTCATTCCTAATTGTAGCCATTTGTAGCTACCAGTGCTCTTTATAACTGTTAGGAGCCAATGTCATAGCCAAATGTTTGGTTTAGTGGTGTGTTATAGTGGCATTCTATTTGTACTTGTAGCTGTAACTAAAAATAGGTATGAACTGTTGTTCTTTCTTTTCTCTTGGGTAAATTCTAGAGCAGAACCATGAAGATCAATGGCCACATGCAACATAATTTGTGTAGGGACAGAGCATTACATGAATGCTTTTGTAAGAAACAACTGGGCGGGCTCCTAAGCCACTCGTCCAAAACTTCCTTTTTGTTTTTAACTACAAAACACTGACAGCTATAAGTTTCCAGGTAGCTGACTAAACTTACCGAACGGTCCCATCCTCAATGTACACATCAGCATAGAAGGAATGGTCCGCATTGACCACTTTGCCTCCCTTGATCAGGATACGAGCTTGTGCCGTCTGAAAATGATGAGAAGAAACCTTAGAATACATGATTTGCACTTGGCAAAGAACAGCAACCAAAATACAACACTACAGGGAGACGGTAGGCTTTTTGAAACTAAAACCCCTGTGTGTACAATGTGTGGATGTGTTCTTGCAAGTTCACAGTAGTGTACATAGTTGGTCTATGCTTTTCCTGGAGTGATAAAAAGATGACCGTGGGATGTTTCAGTTAGCGGGAAAGGGGAGGCCAATACAGAATAATGAGGACTTGTCAGCAGAAAAAGTTTCTACCCTTTTAAAAGTGGACTGATCCATTATTTTGCCAACAAAAGACTCTTCTGCTTAGATTAACCAACTCAATATCAAGTAAAACACAATCTCATACAGAGAACACACAAAGTTGAAAAGTTGCTAAAACAAACAATGAATTTTTGGATGGAAAAGAAACTGGCATCCTCCATTTCTTGCCCAAAAAGGTATTTGTGGACTTACAGGGTGGGGGCTTGATCACGAAGGGGAAAGGGGAAGGGGAAATTGAGACTAAGTGAAGGGGAAGATGGCCGGTCATGTGACAGGAAGGAGAATGAGTGTGCAGAAATCTACACTATGTATGCAACAAGGCTGACAGGTAGAATCAACCCAGACTAAAACTTGAGGCTGAGTAAATATCCTCCAATGGCTCAGTGTTTAGTTTCACAATAGATTGTCCCATGCAAACTAGCACTTGCTAATACAATTTAGGTGTTTCTGTTGATTGACGTTTCTGGTTCAAAATGATGGCCTGAATATACACGTGCAAGCCATGCAGGTACATGTACATGTACGATACATGTACATGTACATGTACATGTAGTGTGAGCTGTTGTCCATGCCATGCAGAGTGCACAATGCAATGAGGTAAGTGATATTTTATCTATGTACTGTATACATGTATTATTATTATTATTGTTATCTGTAAATGGCATGTGGATCACAAGCCTACAGTACAACAAACTACCAGTACAGGTCTCTATATCATGCAGTTGAGTGTATCCAAACAAAACAAACATTCTTGTTCCGTAACTGTGTGGACTACATGAGTTGTCCCATGGTACTACATGTATGAGGACCAAAGATGCTATGGGGACAGCAGAAAGTCCCAACTACTCGGTCCTAATTACCCTAACAAGGAAAACTTCCCCATAATGCGGTGACGGCTCGCCCATGAACATGTACATTTTTGTGCACACATACGTAAATGTATGTACACGTACATGTGCCTGTTCTAGATGGAAATTGTACCCATGCCCATGTACATGTATGAACGTTTCTGAAAGTGGAGGGAGGGGGCTACATATGTATACATGACCCCGGTCCATTATTTGTGTGACAGTCATGAATGTACATTTGTACCTTCATGATCGTGTATTTATTAAGGCATTTGACATGTATTTGCTGAGCACATTCATGTTTCTGAAGTGCAGTGCATGTGTCACACACATGCATGAGCTAAAGTCCCTCAAATTTAGACTTTAATTTACAGTAAATACCATGTGTACATGCACATGCATGTACATGTATACGCACATGTAAAAATGTACAACATTGATAAGTACATGTACGGTATATATACAAATGTACCACAAGTTCAATGGACTTTTTGTATGGCTTGAAATGAACAAAAAGGTTGTTTGGGGAATTTAATAATCCACTACCGGTACTTTCTACCTAACAAAATATTCATGTAAAGTACAAATCACAAGCCAAAACAAGTTATTGAAGAAAAAAAAAAATGAAAAGTCCACCCCCCCCATAAAAAAAATCTGCCTGAATAGAAACTTAATATTAAAAAGTAAAATACAATGTAATTAAAAATGTATTTTTAAAAATCTAATGAAGTTTGCCGAAATGCCTGGTTCTGGTCTTACACTACCTGATCACTAACAAAAGATTTCACTCAGTACACTTGGAAAAAAAGAAAGGTTAAATTTCTAACAAAACCACCCAGAATTGGATGCGCTGTGACTGAGGTCTCCAGGGGCCTGACCCATCCATAATGCACACAAGAGCAATATGGGATGGCAGTGGTTGTGTCAATAGATATGCATGGTCAATGGCCTGTACATTATACACTTCATAGGCCCAGTAGGTGATGACTCATACATGTGCCTGTACAGGACTCTTGCATGATGTACATGTACATAATGTATACACATGCCATTTCATTACCAATGCAGTAAAATACTCGTTAGTGTACAGTCTTTAAGGAGCCAGCAATGCAGTCAGTGCACTGTCATTTCAATCCAGTCACAATGTGAAAACAAAGAGATTTACAAAAATGTGCACTTATCAGACAGTAGATGCAGAAATTGCATTATTTTCTACTGTAGTACAGATCTCTTCTGCATGGAAGACAGTGAAAGGTTATCTAATATAATCAAATCAAATTCATAATATTTACCAGAATGATTTGCCTTTGACATAAACTATTTTGGTAAGTAGGCGTGTAATGTATTCCTATTTATGTGATTTGTGGGTGTACATGGACATATACATGTATGCATTGTTTATGTACATAGTCTACGTGTATTTTGAATGTATGCGATGTGGCTTACAATGTACGCGTGGATGGTAGCAATGCAATTGTCTTGCTTGCCTATTATCATAGCAGACAATAGCACCTAGTACTGAACTGATGAATCACAGGATATAATGACCTGTCAATTATTTATCTGGGTCACTCATGCATTGGACATTGTGAAAACCACACAACCCTCATGTACAAAGTGTTCAAGTCACACATGCACATCTGTCAAGTGACAATGTACCGTAGTAATAGTATGCATCTTGACTGATGTACAATATTGCATACATGTACGTTTATACAATATCGTCAGACAATATTGCTTTCATTCATTCTGTAACATGCATTTATTTAAAGTTTAAAAATAACAGCATTTCTGAAATTTGTATGCACGAACTTGAAGACTTTTTAACGAATCAATGTACATGTACACATAGTTTGCAGGATGTTTTCTATCATTGTACATTATTACCTGCTATTATTTTTCACATTTCACAAGAGCTCATCTTGAATTGTGTGCTTGGTTTCTCAACCTTGCATACCTGATCATTGCCAGATTGAACCTACCTGTCTTTTAGTGTCAACAATTACTGACAATTGTTTTCAATATACAAATAAATCATTCATGTACATGTTTCATTGAAAATGTATTTTTTTCTGACTGTAATGTTCATTACATGTATGTAAAACAAACAACAAAAACCTGCTGTTGCGGACAAGTAAGCTTGTCACATTACTTTATTTGCTGTTTGCTTGTTAATATTCAACTAATGCACTTTTCTATTCCAAAGGTCAAAATTGTGAACAAATACTTTCATACAGACTTTAATTCATGCATAATGTAAATTGTAATGTAGTGAAAAAATTTGCATGACGTTCAGTCATGTTGGTCACATAATAACAGTCTATGCATGAATGAATGGCAGAATGAGACCAAAGACCTACTTGCATACTAGCGATGTATATTTAATGAGCTCTATGGGTTGTGTGTGATATTATGCTTTGGATGCACGTCTCTCATCCTCGAGGGTCTGTCACCAATCCAAGACAAGGAGCTTTGCTGTTCTACACTTGCTGCAATTCGGCAGGTCTTTGCAAATATATATTCATGTATATCATTTTGGGGAAAGGGGAGGCTGTGAGAAGATTTTGATGAGAATACACACACATGCCCTCATCAATGGTACCGGTACCCATGTGTAAGAGAGGTGGTATGATGAAATCCCCTCTCTCTCCCCCCCCCCCCCCAAAAAAAAATCAATACTAGTGCAGCTGCATGTCATATAATACATTTTTGATTTAAATGTGCGAGTAGAAATATTAGAATCTTACAATCTTACAAACCTGTGTAACCTGCAACGTCCATGTAACTAATATGCTCATTATCTTAATTTTGAGGAATTGTTGAATTACAGACATGTATGTTACAATTTTAACATCAAATAAAAAATTCATAACTTTTTATTTTGATGAGGACTGTATTTGATAAACTGTGCATATATTGATAATTTCTATTGAAAACAAACAGATAGATGGCCATGTCTGGCTGCTGTTATTTGTTCTCTTAGTCAAAGCATGGTCATACATGTATGTATTGATCATATTACCACCATCTTCCCTTTCCTAATGAAATGTATCTGTGCATCCAAATAGCAGTATATTGCCTATGACTGGAGCAATCTTCAACGACTCATACATGTACGTGTACATGTATATGTACATGTATCTCAGGACAGTCATGAGTATAGGTTACATGTTGGTATCAGTATGTACAATGTACCAGTATGTAATCAATGCACTTCAATCGTCATAATGTATGAAAGCATTAGACATGTTAGAACAGCTCGATCTTCTGCAGTTACATACTTTGAGCTGAGAGCATACAGATATTGATCTTGGTCCAGGCTGCTTAGCATTACTACATCAATCTCTATCCAATTATGGCGCTCTGATTTCTGGCATGGACATTAAGTGCTGCCCTGGGTTTTTTTTCTTTGTTGTATTCTCTTGTTGTGTTCCAATTAAAACAAGACGTTTCCTTCCTGTGGTTGGCCTACATGTCCTTGATAAGGGCACATCTTCATAATTCCTTTCAAATTGTTGAGAGAAATTTCAATTACAGTAGGGCTGCAATATAATCCAGGAGGGCTACAAAAATGTCAAGGGGGAAAACTGAAATATGTTCAGTGCAGTGAGTGCACATCTGTTTGACGTGAATGCTCAAAACTTGGCAACCTTGATGTTGATTTGATAAATTCAACAAACACTTAGGGTATTTTTTTGGGGGGGGGGGTAATCTGACAGTATTTTCAATCCAATTTTCCAACGAATCCTGAGATTTGGGTAATCTTTTCCAATATATCGCATTACAAATAGTTAAAGCAAATTAAAGCAGTTTATTCATCATACTCTTTCTTAGGGTCATTCCGTGTCAAATCACCCAATGGGTTAA